CTAAAAACATTACATTTTAGAGTTGGATACAATTGATTTTAAAATTGCTGTATTTTCATTCCTTCATAGACTCATCAGATAAACAACTTTCAGTAAAGTTTTAATAAAGCTGTCATTGGCAGAAAGCAGGTCTCTGAGGTACATATTGCTGTGTATATCTGTGCCTGTGTATATTTTATTAAAAATGATATGAGCAATTGCAATGAATCTTATACTTTAACATTTTAAAGATTCAGTTACAGAAAGTTTGGGCCACTGTAGACATTTAATCGCAAGCGTGCATTTTATAACCTTAAGTTCCCCATTGGTCACATACCTCTAGCCGCGAAATGGGCTGAGGACCAAAGCGTCCCTCCTCTGTTGATGTTTCCAGACTTTCATCTTCCTCACGTTGCAATTGCATGGCCATGGCACACATCAGTCAATGCTATCAAAACAGGAAGTACCTAATGCAGAAGTTATGCGTTTTCAGTGACGTATTTTTTTTGTAAACAACGATTTCATCTCACTGCTACAACCTTATGGTCATAAAGGACGCTACCACCACTACTACTGTAACAACAGAAAGGTTCGCTCACTCGCTTTGGAGTAGGCTTGCGCTTAACCCACTTTCCCACATTTTGCATTCACATTTTATTGGCGAACTGCCACGTAACAGTTTTCAACTGTAACTGCTTTCACGTGTTTGTTTTTAACCTTGCCTCTGTTTTTAGAGCGCCTAAATCGTTTCAGGGTGTTTTTGCTTTGTTAACTGCGCTTTCCCTGGGCTGCTCGTGGAAGAAAGGCGGCGTATAAACCGCAATAAGCAAACAAGGTCGCGCAGCAGAGGCAAAAGCACACGGAGGCCGCCAGAACAGGAGGCCTCGCGAGCAGCTTCTTATTCCTTAGCCTCTCCGTTTCTCAGGTAGGCCGGGAAGCCCGAGCACAACTCTCGCCCCGCTCCCTGGGCCTTTCAGTGACCCAACAACGACGGACGCCATTCGGAGGGGGGATGGCGGAGAAAGGCCGTTTCTTCGTCCCGCGAGGGCGAACGGAAGGAGCGGCCCACGGACTCACCTCCGCTCACACACTCTGGTCCCTCCGTCCCCGTTCCGGATTCAGACGAGCCCGCCACTGCGTGACGCAACCGACGCGCACGCGCGTAGCGACGTCTCGGAAGGGCGGAGGCCTCCAGTGCGCATGCTCCCTTTCCCAGGTTTAGCGCTCGTCCGTTGGCTGGGGCTCGTTAGTGGATTGGGGCGGGGCCTACGCGTGCCTTCCTCTTAAACCACGCCCCGCCCCTTTCAAAAGTTCTGAGGCAGCCTTTCTCAACCTGTGGGTCCCCAGATGTTATTGAACTACAACTCCCATCAACCCTAGCTAGCAAGGCCAGAGCTCAGGGATGATGGGAGTTGTAGTCCAACATCATCTGGGGGTGTTGGTAGATTTCGAGGGGCGGGGCAGGGGTCCACTCAGGGTAGACCTTGTATTCACAGCAGGCTGAAGAGGTTTGGACTCGGTGGCCTCATCTGCAGAACACATATTGGGGAAGAGAGGAACTTGAAAGCCAAACACTACCCTCCGTCATTTCTCCTCGCACATTTCACTCTTGCAATGTTGATGCACAGATGCACATGCAGACACGTGGCTTTAAAATATAGTATATGGGGTGTTAAAGGAGGGGTAGTACCTCTGGTGGACGACACATCGTGCTCCTTCTGGGGTAATTTGTCCAGGAGTGCTAACTTGAACAAAATATGGGGGGTGGGAGGCAAGCCCTGCCCTACATAATCACACGATGCTGTGCATGCACACCATTTGAATCATAGCAGTCAACTTTTCCCTTTTCTTGCGAGGAATCCTATTTGGAATAAGGGAATTTCCCTTTAAAAACAGGAAACCTTAACAGCTATGATTTGAATGGCAATGCCCGTCAACGTTGGGAGGCCCAGCTCCCTCTGATATTTTTTATTGGGGGGCAAAGACCCCTCGGCCCCTAGGAGTTGGCTCCTATGAGTTTGTCCACCTTTGGTCCCCACCCTGCATTTATCTAGATGCAGATGTGTGTCCTAGATGCTGTCAGCATGGGATAGATAGCACCCACACCTCAGAATGGCTTTGACTGGCCAGCTAAACCAGGTGAGAGTAGCCAATGGATATCAAAACCTCAGTTAGACTTCCCTGCATGTCAAGACAGGCTGAAAATGAGGGTCTTGCATGAGCAGCCCAGGACCTCCGTATGCACTGCCCAGGCTTGTGCCCTGGGGAAATCACTTCGGTGCTGCAGCTTGACTTCACCCCCAGAGGCACACTCCGTTGTCTTTCCAGACAGATGGATGCCAACATTCATCCTGATCGCCTCTTGCCAGGTGACCACAACAATGGTGGTGGGATTGCTGTGAGACCCAAATTTTGCTGTGAGGGTATTTATAAAAGGTAAAGGTACCCCTGCCCGTACGGGCCAGTCTTGACAGACTCTAGGGTTGTGCGCCCATCTCACTCAAGAGGCCGAGGGCCAGCGCTGTCCGAAGACACTTCCGGGTCACGTGGCCAGCGTGACAAGCTGCATCTGACGAGCCAGCGCAGCACACGGAACGCCGTTTACCTTCCCGCTGGTAAGCGGTCCCTATTTATCTACTTGCACCCGAAGGTGCTTTCGAACTGCTAGGTTGGCAGGCGCTGGGACCGAACGGGAGCGCACCCCTGCCGCAGGGATTCGAACCGCCGACCTTTCGATCGGCAAGTCCTAGGCGCTGAGGTTTTAACCCACAGCACCACCTGCGTCCCTGGGGCTTGTGCCCTGGGGAAATCACTTCGGTGCTGCAGCTTGACTTCACCCCCAGAGGCACACTCCGTTGTCTTTCCAGACAGATGGATGCCAACATTCATTATGTAGTGATTATGTGTGATTATGTAGGGCAGGGCTTGCCTCCCATAATTTACATTGGATTTTTTTAAACTACCAATTTAAAATCAATTTAAAATCAATCCACCCTGCTATCATCTGGAACAGATAGCCCAAGCAGATGCAATGGGCTACTCTAATAAACAAATATACACTACAGTTCCAACCAGCAACTTTCCATTTTAATTAGCCAGTAAAACAAATGGGAATTTGAAAGCTGTCAAAAACTTGCAGCAGGAGTGCCCTCTGACGGTGAAGCACAGCCATAACACCAAAACAGTAGGTTTCCTAGTCCCATGTAACCCCCATAGGAACCCTTTATGTCTTACCCTGGTGCACAAGAAGCCTATAAGGCCCTCCCAATGACATTTGCTTTCCTAAGGGATCTGTGCAAAAGTGTGTGCATGTACTCGCTACCTTCCAAGTAGGGGGCTGATCCATGGGAGTGACACAAGAAGGAACCAGAGGAGGTGGTACCAAGAGCACTCACTCAAAAATCCCAGTGAATCAATGGGCCTAAGGTGGTTGGCGTTTGCTTTATTCAATTCTACATGGCTCTTCTACCAATAGTAATTGTTTTGTTAGAAAATGCTAACTATGTAGAACAGCCACTACAGCACTGAAAAAACAGCTACAGGTTGGGGAACTTTTGTAACAGCATAGTGCTAACTTGAGGCAATTATTAATCAACTGCAAACTTCTTTAAAAATGAACTGAAGCAATGAGATATCTGTTCTACTTTCATTAATAAATGTTATCAAGTGATTACTGATTGGTACTGATAAGAGTAAATTTGATAGATGCAGAAATTAACGAGGCAGAGCCGGGAACCCTTTCATCTGCTCAGCCCAGTGCAACCCCATCAAGGCTCAGTAGTCAAGAAAGCAGAGGACCAGAAGGTGCAGTTGCTCTGGCTTGTCTCTGGGAGGCAAGCAGTGTAATATTCCAGTGATCCCTAGCTGGTTACAGAGGCTGGTCTGCTTCTCTTTGGTTTTGCAGCCTCAGTTGATTGTCAGCTGGAACAGTCATGACTTGGACTCCACAACTAATGCCTTTGTGCTAGTAGAGGTGTACAGAGCAACAAAAGGGCAACTTTCAGTTGCTGAGGACCAAGGATGTGGACAAGGTGCTTGGCAAACACCAGCTGACCACCTGTCAAAAACCAGCCCTTTGCAGCTTATTTCATCTAATAAGAAGGGGATGTCTGGCCAAGAGTTGTAGGCACCTCCTTCAGAGAAGTGGTGTTAACCTCCTTAAACAAAATGGTAATTAAGCACTCCTAAAAAAACCTAGCTGGACCCAGAAAATATAAATGATAGCTGGTTGCTAACATCTCCTTTCTGAGCAAGGAGCTTGAGCAAGTGGTTGCTAGTCTGGTTTATGGTGTTCAGATACCTAATTGTTAATGGGCAGTATAAAATGGTATACAGTGGTACCTCAGGTTACATACGCTTCAGGTTACAGACTCCGCTAACCCAGAAATAGTGCTTCAGGTTAATAACTTTGCTTCAGGATGAGAACAGAAATCGTGCTCCGGCGGCGCAGCGGCAGCAGGAGGCCCCATTAGCTAAAGTGGTGCTTCAGGTTAAGAACAGTGTCAGGTTAAGAATGGACCTCCGGAACAAATTAAGTACTTAACCTGAAGTACCACTGTATGCTGTTCTTTTTAAGCATATACTTTGGCCTCATCTTGTCTGTGAAATAACATTTATTTATCTTTTTATTTTGTGAGGTTATTAAATTGAAAGGAAGAGTAGAATGAATCCTTTCATCCAAAATATTCAGAATTTTTCTGAAACAGTTCTAGAAAGTTAAACAAGGAATAGGTTGTCAAAACAAGTTATTTTACCACAACCACCACATTATAGAAAGGAAAAGCAGGGAGAAATGAGCACAATACCATGATTAATATAACTTACAATCTTCTTAGAACTGAATGTGTAATATTTTGCATTTATTCCATTGATGTTTTCTAATGAGTAATTTGTTTTTTCAGTCTTTTGATATGAAACTATTTTTGAAGGAGTGGAAAGACAAACAGCAAAAACAAAATCGTCCAAACAGTTTAAAGGATTTAAAACACACACACACACACACACACACACACACACACCACCAAAGTAAATAGTGGATTTAGAGGAAGTGTTGGCAGCATTACTTTAACTTACAAGTCACCACTAAGACAACTTTTTTTAGTGTAGGTGGGTTTATTATACTTCCCCCATTAACAAAAAGTAACAAAATTAAAAAACCTAAACAATTCAAAAAGCATTAAAAATGCTATACTTTACACATATACATACATCGTCCAGCAACTAGAGACCACAGTGGAGAAAATATGGATGCCTTATTATAATAATATAAGCTTTGTAGATATGAGATGCAACCACATCAATCTGAATAATTTAAAAATCTTAACAGTCAGACTGGAGTAGTGACGATGGCAGCCAAATAATTCAGTCAACAGAAGCATGGATGCACCAATACTCACTTCATTACAAGTCCGAAACATTGGATGGCACACCTACTTTTCTATGTGCAATGTTATAATTTTTGTAGTTGTAATTAATCAATCTTGGGGCAACTTTCTAAAAATAGAACTTCTTTATTTTTGTAGGGGTCAAAAGCTACTGCTAGCCATTAATACACATGTAGGCCTTGGAAGATACACATCACTGCAGTACTTGACCTATGAAATTGCACTAACTACTGCAGAAGAACTGCAACATCAGTTTTGCAGTAAAATTAATTTATCAGAAATTAAGAGTAGCCTTAAAAAGTGCTAGAAAACAACAACAGAACTATGCAATATCCCTTAGCTATACACTTTTCAGTAGGCAAAAAGGACTAAGTGGTGATCCTTACTAAGAAAATAAGCAAAGATTTGACTACTGAATGATTGCTCATTCCACCCCCACCCCCGCCCCGCTGCTCTGCTATCTTTGGATGGAAGGACCCTGGAGCAGATTACGATGAATCTGATTGACCATTCTCTTCAAGTAGTTGGCTCCCACTGGAACACTGGATAAAACAACAGAAATTTCCTCTTGGCTGTGAAGAGAAAATGCATACACATGAGGATCAAATAAATGAAAACGTTCCCATAAAACTATAGTAAAAATTAGTGCTCTCACACCTTCTGTTTTATTTTACTCACTTAAGTTTGCCGGTGCATTTTGGAATGGTGAAAGCTATTGGGGACGCAGGATAGCTGGCAGATAAAGACAGTTCAACTTCAAACTTTGCAAATGATACAGAACTGGAGAATAAGAGCTTCACTCTACGTACAAAACAAAATATAGACACAGTCATACCTCATGTTGCGTCTGCTTCAGGTTATGTGTTTTCGTGTTACGTCCTGCAGCAACCCAGAAGTACCGGAATAGGTTACTTCCAGGTTTCGCAACTCGCGCATGCACAGAAGCACTAAATCGCATTGTGCATGTGCGCAGACGCGGCACTTCGGCTTGCATCACTTCCGTGTTACAGACGGGTCTCCAGAACGGATCCCGTCCGTAACACGAGGTTCCACTGTCCAAAGAATTATTTGTGTTGTGCCTCAGTAACTGCTGAATGTTAAAATAAATAAAAAAATTGTCCAGTAGCACCTTAGAGACCAGCTAAGTTTGTTCTGGGTATAAGCTTTCGTGTGCATGCACACTTAAGTATTCTACACGAAACAGTTGGGAGAGGTAATCAGTTTGCATGATATTTATGTTCTATTCATCAAATCTTTCATCAAATCTAGGTGATGCACTGATATTTAAACAGTTATCTAAAGGGCACAGTGAGAGCTACTGATGCTGAACGCAGACAGGGTTGAAGTACTGTGGGTAGAAGGAATGGACCATGGTGGAGGCATTCAGCTTGTACTGGATGAATTGCACCCCTCTTAAAGATCAGGTTGGTAACTCAGGGATATACAGTATTTGAATCCAGCTTTGCTGTTGGGATCACAATGTGATAGTTTTGCCTTCGACTTCCTTTCTCCAATTCCAGATTATGCCTGTGCTGCCTCCTGGAATAAAATGACCTTACTATCTACCTATGCTTCAATAAAAATTCAGGCTTGATTAGTAACAATTCAGGCTGACTTTGAAAAGTCTTCAGAACTTTAAGTGGTCCAGAATACAGCAGCTAGATTGTTAACAGGGACCTTCCATTGCAAACATTGCATCAGCTCTTAAAGACCTTCATACAGCCCCTGCTTGCCACCAAGGCCAATTGAAGCAGCTGGGTTTTGACTTATAAAGGCCTAAAACACCTAGTCCAAGCCACCTGGATGACTGTTTGCTCCCTCTGTGAATCTACCTTCATTAAAGGCCATTTTCTGGGTACCCCTGCCCTCTGAGATTAAGTGGCTAGCTACTACAGAGGGGACCCTTTTATGATTGCACCCAGCCTGCAGGACCCCCTGTCAGGGAGATCCACTCTTCTTGTTATCTTTTAGGTGCCAGGCAGCCCATCTTGTTTTGACAAGGCTCTTTTATGTTTAGAAAGTTGCTTTAACTTGGTTTTGTTTCATCTTTTGCTCTGGAAGTACAATGTTTTAATTTGGTTCTGCTATTTTTATCATGTTTTAGCTGAACTGCTGTTCATGCAATGCATGTTTAATACAGTCATACCTCATGTTATGTTTGCTTCATGATACGTTTTTTTCAGGTTGCATCCCACGGCGACCCGGAAATACCGGAAAGGGTTACTTCCGGGTTTCGCTGCGCACGCATGCGTGGCAAATCACAACCTGCGCATGCGTAGACATGCCGCTGCAGGTTGGGTTCTGCTCATGTTGCGAACGGGCCTCCGGAACGGATCTCGTTCGCAACCAGAGGTACCACTGTACTGTATATTTTAAGATACTTCATTCCTTTCTTGCTATCTGGATATCCTTGCTATCATTCCTTGCTTGCTATATAGGGGGAAATGGCTTTTTAAAATCCTGCTGAGGTGAAACACACCAGAATTTTGTGCTATAAATATTAAATTCTTGCCAGAAAGATTTTGGAAGGATTGTAACACACCCTCTACCAATCCTAACTTTTACACCAATCCTAACTTGTACACCAAATAAATACATTTAGAGAACTAGAATAGACTTGGTTAAGTATTTACTTTGTATCGTTCACATCTGTCTTCAGCAGATTGAATTTTCCACCCCATCTGTTTAGATACTCGATCTCTTCTCCCAGAAGTTCACAACGACTCACCACAAGGGAAATGTCACGCAGCACCTGATTGGACAATCAGAGCAAGTAATGATGACAACTTAGGTCCCAGATTTCCTGAGATAGGATGGGAAGAAAGGTACGCCACTCCTCTTCTACATTTTCTTCACAGCAAGAAGGAGAATGTGTGCAAACCTTCTCCGGACACAAAGCAACTTAACTAGACTAGGGGTCAGCAACCTTGTCCAGCCGTGGGCCAGTCCACCAACCCTCAGACCATGTGGTGGGCTAGACTATTTTTTTTTTTTGGGGGGGGGGAAATGAACGAATTCCTATGCCCCACAAATAACCCAGAGATGCATTTGAAATAAAAGGACACATTCTACTCATGTAAAAACACATAATTTTGTCATTTACTTGCATTCCTATACTTTTAAAGTTACACTCAATGTAATCACTTTATAAATTGCTTTTCTACCCTAGAAAAGGGCCATCAAATGCAGAAAAACAATAAAGCAAATCACAACACAGTTTCTTTGGGCAGGATTCACCTAATCAGCCTAATCAGTGGAAACCCTGCAAGGACTTCTGCTTACACAACAGGGCTTCCCTCTTCTTCCTCCGCAATTGGCTTGTGGGGAGGGGTTGGGAGAACTCCCAGAACTGTGCACAGGGGGAGGAGTGGGGGCGGGATAGTTCCATCTGGCAAGCTGCAATGATTGGAAGAGTGTGATGCTGAATTCCTTTCATTCTTCATAGCCTCCATTAAGTGTCACTACAGTGTCACTAAAGCAGGTGAAAAAGTTCTGCTGGGAAGCTACTTCCACCTAGAATTGCTCCAAAATGTATAGACTTTCCTGTACTTCTGGATCTTCTTTGTTGACTCTTCCAAGCAATAAAAGCAGCATAGAACAAATTATAGCAACATTTTAAAAAACCCTTTTGCTTTTCATTGTTAAGTTACCTGATAAAGATGATGCACTGTTGAGCATTTTTCCTTCAATGAACTCTGACTGTTTATAAACTGGAAGATGAGTCTATGCACTAGTTTTGAAGATGGCAAAGCCTTTGCTTCTGTATAGGAGAACAAAGAAACAACAAACTCTGTTTTAGGTTTAAGTTATATTCAAGTGATTTCATTCTATTCAACTCATGGATGATTTTGAATGCCTTCAAAATCTTGAAGGCATTTGATATTTAGTTTGATTTAATTGCTTTGCTTTTTGCTTCACACTGGGAATTTCAATGTTAGTTGAAAGTTTTATCTGAGAAAAAGGAAGGTTCTTCACAGAAGACCGCTTTTCATGTTTTCTTGAAGTTCAGCAATACTTTTCACAAGAGAAGCTGGAAAATGCAGATCTCCTTCCAGAAAAAAATATCACAGAAGCAAAATGCTTTAAAGCCTTACCATCCAACAGTGATTCGAGGTTCACACCAACAATATTCACGCAGAACCTGTTGCTGAAAACAGCACCATCTGTGAGAAAGCAGACATAATATAAGTTCTATGATTCTATTTCAGAATGAGGTCTAGTTTCCACTGAGATGGTCAGCCTGTGTCTGGGTTGTCCCTCTTCACATAGGTCAGAATTCAAATAAATAAATCATTCTGCACAAAAAACCTGCATGTCAGGGTCCAGCCTTTGCCATGATGTGCAGGATTCAGTGTGGGGAGATGTAAATATAAATACTTTTTTTTGTATAGTGGAATATTCAACCATGCAAGTCCCTCCCTGCTGCTTACAATACCATTGCACCAAAGACACAATTCTGCAGACTTTTGTGCAAAGATCCATGCTCCATTTCTCACTGTTCTGCTTGATGATCTGATTTTGCAGACACCAAGAGTGGGAACTGCTAGGATGAGACCTAGCCATCCTGGTCATCTGTATGAGGTCCTACTCCCGGCTCTACCCCTGCAAACACCTGAAACATTGAGGAAAGTTTCCTGCACAGTGACATGGCAAAGAGTTACTGACCCAAATTTGGAGCAGTGAATGGTAACACAATTTTATAAGGTGATTAGAGCCATACACTACCAGCAGCTCTGGATGGAGGATTTCAGACAAGGGACAGAAGCTAGCAAAGAGATCACTGTCTGTTCCTTCTACACTATACTCCCTACTGTGCTTCACATGGTCATCTACCGCCAACTGTGGGATGGAATCAGATTTATTTTAATATTTTAATTTTGTTATGTTGTAAACTGGCTTGGAAGAATTTGGATCCTGAATAGTTGTAGGAATAATTGTAATAAATATTAAATACCTGTAACCTAGATAGCCCAAACACTGGTTTACCACTTTAGAGAGCTAAATTTATGTCACTCAATAAAATTGAAGACCAAATGCCTTTTCAGTCTGCATGCAATTTTTTTTACAGCTCAGTTCTTATCAAATTAATCAGTTTTGCCTGTAGTCTGCTTTAGTGTTTTTCTAGCTTTTTAAAAAACCACGTTATGATGTTTGTGAGCAGACCTGAGTTCTTTTGGGACCTCTTGGCAGGAGTAAAATATCAAAAAACACATCTAGAGTAGATAGTGGTGCTTTTATAGTGCTTCATATAGCAGATAGAGTTTTTAGTATTTTTGCAACTCACCTACAGGGCGCCCAAGGCTGAGAGTGAGCTCAACAGAATCATAAAGGAAGGTGAAAACAGCCTGGTGATCATTCCACTCTTTTATTGCCCACTCAGAGAAGCTACAAACAGAAAAAGTTATCAAAAATGAATTCACCAAAAGACAATGGGAAGGATAGTGCATGTACAGTTACTGGGCACTTGGTAAGAATACAGTGGTACCTCAGGTTAAGTACTTAATTCGTTCCGGAAGTCCGTACTTAACCTGAAATTGTTCTTAACCTGAAGCACCACTTTAGCTAATGGGGCCTCCTGCTGCCGCCGCGCTGCCGGAGCCCGATTTCTGTTCTTATCCTGAAACAAAGTTTTTAATCTGAAGCACTATTTTGGGGTTAGTGGAGTCTTTAACCTAAAGCGTATGTAATCTGAGGTACCACTGTACTACCTTAATTATTTTTTTTAAATTGGGGTTCAGTAGTCATGAACTACTTTATCTAAAACATCTGTCCCCTTTACAAGTTGAAAAACCTATATATTTCTCCCTCACACACTAAGTTGACTAGAGCAGGTACCTTCAACCTTTTTCAGACCTAGGACCCACTTTTAAACAAAACATGTATTTAGGGACCCATTTCTTAATCTTTTTGAGCCACATGGACCATACGAAACAAAGCATTAAAGAAGGAAAGATAAAAACTGCTTTTGTGTGCCCACTTGTTCTTTTTACTTAGAATATAGATGTTAAATGTAATTACTTGTAAATGTTTCCCCCAAGCAGTAAATGTCATTCCTATAAGGACCATGCCATCCTCTGTTTGAAGGTGAAGAGGAATGTTGAAACAATTTGGTTATACTCTGAGCAAGGATAGGAAACCTGTGGCCCTCCAGATTTTCTGGGACTACAACTCTCATCAGCCCCAACCAACATGGCCAGCATCTGGAAACCATGGTTTTCCCACCCCTACTCTGATTGCCGGCTCATGGGGACAAAATCAGAAGATACCACTGATGTCACGTAAACATAGACAATATATTACTTGAATTGGATTCCTTTCACAGCAAGATATTAATTGACTGAATTTACTTACTTGTATTTCTTCATAAGTTCCTGACATCTGTTTGCATACTCCTTGAGATGGCTTATTTCAGAAGCTCTCTGTTTCTTTTTATCTCTGATATTCGATTGCTCTCTGAAGGAGTACAAAAAAAGTGCAATGCATTTGACAAATACCCTGAACAGTATTAAAGCCAAGAGTTTTTCACAACACATAAATACATGTCAAACACTAATGCTTAATTCTACCTTTGAAGTGCCTCCTCTTTGGCTCTGTAGTTTTCCAGCTCTAAGAAATGAGAAAATACACAGTAAGAGTCAAAATGTTGATGAAAAGCATTAACTGTTTATTCTGTTTGATTAAGCAGGTCTAGTCCTCAACATGCTATTAGGTTTATTCTCCAAGGCCAAATGGTGTTCAATGAAATTCCTACACGGATGTAATTTGTATAGGATTAAGTGAATCCTACATACAGGATATTGTATATGAAGAACCTATAGGTACAGTACATGCACTGATAAGATGCAACCAATCAAAGCTTTCCAGAGCTCATACATGTAGTAACCTCCATGTAGATCAGTCAAAACAGCCCCAAGTACAGTGGTACCTCGCAAGACGAATGCCTCGCAAGACGAAAAACGCGCAAGATGAAAGAGTTTTCCGTTTTTTGAGTCGTTCCGCAAGACGAATTTCCCTATGGGCTTGCTTCGCAAGACGAAACGTCTTGCGAGTTCGTTTCCTTTTTCTTAAAGCCGCTAATAGCCGTGCTTCGCAAGACGAAAAAACTGCAAGACGAAGAGACTCGCGGAACGGATTAATTTCGTCTTGCGAGGCACCACTGTACAGGAAAATATGTTTCAGCAATGGCAGGACAGAAAGATGCATTCTACAACTCATGTTAGTAAAAAGATCTGGAGACTATATAATAAGCACAGCCACAGCAATTTCAGTGTCCTAACAGCCTTCTGTATCATGCAGCTCAAAACAGGTTCAGTACCTCTCTCAGTGTCTCTCATCTTAGACTTGTATTCTGCCATGGCATCATTGACATCTGGCTCAGACTCTTCCAATGCAGAAGTTTCTAAAATTAAGCAGTGTTTTATAAGAACATTCACTTCAAAAATGCTATACATATACTCCGGTCAACTTAGCAGGAAATACAACCTTTGAAATTATGCTCCCAACTTTGAGTTTCAGGTGTATTCCTAAAAAATAATATATTTGTAGTTTGAGATTGACTTTGCTCTACACTTTTGGTACACAGTTGAGGAGAACATTCAAAGACTTCTTGTTTCAAGTCATGCTCACTGATTTGACAGGATAGTGAGAAAAAGAGGAAACTCTATATTAGTTATCTTTCTACAGACATCCTACAACAAGGGCCAGTGGACATTGTAAATCACCACAGCAGAACATTTTACTTCCTGTGAGGATCAGTTTTCAAAAAAAGCAGTTCATCCATTTACATATAGACTAATAACATGCTGACTGTATCCACAAAAGCTTCAAAAGCCAAATAATTTTCATTGCCTAAGAGGACTTATTCTACGTAGCCTGTCTCTTAGCTTATTAGTCCTATGATCTTAATGTGTATAAGAATGTTGATTTCTTTTTGACACCAAAGTATGCCCAAATTATGTCAACAGGGGTGGTTTTTTTTTTGTTTCTTTCTTTCTTTAGTCTGCAAAGGTATTAATTTAAATTGGCTTTACTGGAAAAGTAATTTTTGAGACTGTACCTGTTTCCAGAGCAAGAAGACAGCTGTCCATTTCCCTTATAAGTTCTTCTACTTTAGCCAGTCTTGACTGTAGTTTTTCCCACTGAAGCTTAAATGTAAAAATGTGGTTAATTGTTTATTATTAGTAGTAATATAATATGTAAAATATGGCTAGATTCTATCTTAGCAAGCAAATATTATTAAAGGGCATTTCTGGCTACTAAATAAAACCAGTTTTTAAAAAACATTTTTCTGTTACATGTATTTCCTAATGGTCTTTCCAACAAAGGATGGGCTCTGGCCCACAGAAGCTGTTTCAGCAACATGACAACAGTAGGTATCCCAATCTTTTTATTGGGCCCTAAATGAAATCAGTTTACAGTATCAGATTAAAACACGCAGGAGAGAACACCAGAGTGACTATGCCTTTTTACTGATTTGTAGGGGAGAAGGACGAGAATAGAGACAGTATAGTACACTAAATGAACTGCTATATTTTGATACAGGGTCTTGTTCAAGTAAGGAATCCGCTCACTATGTAACCTTTATCTCAAAGTCTAAACCTATACCACGTTAATAAACAAAAATAAGAATTATAAAGAAAACTACAAACAAGCAGATCCACCAAACAGGATTGTATGTTTTAGCCATAGAGCTAAAAGTTACATTGAAACTATCTTTTCCCGCTGCCCCACTTTCCAAACTAAGATACACAACTCCTCTAGCATCCATGCTATTTCCCCATTTTATTCCATAATATAAATGTGAAGCTAAATCCAGGAACCAAACTGTGTTTAAGGACATGAGGAAATAAGACAACCTCTCTCATATGCAGCAGTTACAGTGTTGGACTTTTAACCAGAGACACTTTGGTTCAAATCCTTGTTTAGGTATGAAGCTCACCTTGGGCGAGCCCTCATCTCTCAGCCTAACATATCTCATAGTTGTTGTGAGGAATAATCAGGACAGTCCTTTGTAGAATGCCCAGAACTCATTGGAAGGAGGGAAGGATGCAAAAAGGAAGACATCTCTATACGTGGAAAGGCAGCCAAGTATTATCTCACTGGTTACCTCAAAAATTTACCTGTCCATTTTGCACCAGTTTTCTATATAATGTTGCTTTTCCTTTGTGAGCAAGAACTTTACTCTTCTTGAGGAAACTGGATTTCATTTCGCGTAGCCCTTCTCCAAAGCGTTTCAGCTGCAGTGAAATGGAACACATTAGCAGAATAAGGGAACTGGAAGTGAACATGATAGTTTTATTTTATTTTTTAATGACAGAACCTCTCAAGTGCACCTTGGTTGGCAGTGGGAAGCACCTCAAAGGCAAGTTGTCCCAGGAAACACCTTCTTTCCCCACCCCCATGTGTTGCTTGTCTGCTCACTGGCTGCAAATTTAAGTTCTTTATGGAGGTGTCCCTAGAGTGAGTTGCTTCACCCTTCATTTGCAATGTGTAATTTGGCCTTTGGTGCATGTCTGCAACAGATCTCTCTCTCTGTTTGCTCATTATTTGTATAAGAATATACCACAAAACTAGTTTATGCAGACTACACCCCATTTGATTAAAAGTACTCTTCAATGCTACAGATCTAGATTTTATTGCATTATTCTTCCCTCCACCAACAGATATTTTTGCAGTGTTTTATTATGCTTATTTAGAAACATCACTGAGAAACCATCTCCTCTTACATTAGCCTGACCACTTTGTACAACATATTGCTGAGCCCTATACTAATTGTGTCCCACTTGTGACCAAGGTATGCTTGATGAGACAAAAGAGGAACTTCCAATGCCCAAATTGTGGTATATCCTTCCTGTGGGAACCAATTGGCTCCTTTTCTTACAGTTTTCCACTAATTGACTGAAAGTTTACTTTTCTGGCAACCATTGGTCTTTCATTTTGTAATGTTTTGATCTGCCAAGCCTGCTTCTGCCTTTAAATTGTTTTATTTCTATTACAGTGGTACCTCGGTTTTCGAGCGTCTCAGAAGCCGCACGTTTCAGTTTTCGAACACCAAAAACCCGGAAGTAATTGCTTCTGTTTTCAAATGCACCTTGGAAGTTGAACGGCTTTCGCTGCATGTTTTCCAATTGAACCTGCAGCCAGCCCTTTGTGCCTCAGTTTTCGAATGTTTTAGAAGTTGAACGGACCTCCTAAACAGATTATGTTTGAGAACCGAGGTACCACTGTATGGGATTGTTGTTTTTAATTGTTGCAAACTGCCATGAGAGATGCAAATGCATTAGAAGTCTGTAGCTTTCTAAACAAACAAACAAACAAACAAACAAACAAACAAACATTTAATTATTCAGAATGAGTCAGTTGCCCATACCTCCTCATCCGAACAGGTTCTCATTACTCCCCATAGACTTTTGTTCACATTCACCAGAAGTTTATGCTGGTATTCTGCATACAATTTTAATCTGAAATATTAATTATAAATAATGATTGTAATAATTACATTGTGCAATTTTTCTAGAAAAAGAGGTACCAGAACTCACCATGAATGCCTCCCTTGTTCTCTTAGAATGGCAATGGTGCCCACCTAAGAGGTGGCAGAACTGAGTTTGAGTGAGTTCCGGCTTGAAAAAAAGCCCTGGTTACATAGAACATTTTAATATATTATAATTATATATTATATAATATATAATATATAATAATATTTCTGGTGTGCTTCTATCTTAAGAGAATAAGCAGCGCCTTCAAATGACCTGTGATTCTGGCCTGGAATAAATTCTGCTCTTCATAGATTTTAATGTCGAAACTATTCTAAGATAGCATTTCTGAGAACATAATTTCATTGGGCAAGCACTTGTGACCAACTCCTTTAGGAACAGAATGCTGGACTAGATAGTCCTTTGGTCTCATCCAGCATTTGTCCTATTTAGAGATTATGTGTACTGGACTACAGTATGCTGTTGACAGCACCCAATCCAATCCAGAACTTTAAACTATGCAGGAACACATTGGCTAGGATCCAAAAAGCCCCATCTGTGTCACTTAGATATCCTGTTTCTTTTTTGGACTCCAGCTAATTCAGCTGTGTCAGAGATCACTGCAGGATTTTCAGGTGTCTCTGAAAAAGGGGCCTGAGGTGCCCTAATGCAGATGTAGCAGCACCTCATATGGGCCTTTTGCTCTCACTGCTTAAGGGTTTTTGAGCTATCTGTATGAAACCTTCCAAGCTTTTACAGGACAACATACCTCAATGAGGTTTAGCTGCCGTAGAACATGATGATCTATTACCTAGCCACATATTTCACCTACATTTAATTCAGCTCACTTTGACCTCCGATCATATTTAACTGCTTGGCTCCCTTCATCATGATCAAAGGCACCTTATATCTAGAGATGGAAGTAATGTACTTTATCACAACTGTTTCTGTTCTGCACATGTTCACCATTAAGCCCCATTTCTGTGTGAATTTAAAACAACCTTATTTTTTTCATAACTAAAAATAACATTTTAGTAAATAAACAAATGTTAGCTTTGTAATATGGTGAACTGAGGGATGCCTCTTAGTTCTTTTCTTGTTCAGTTTTATTCTAATTAGAACAGCTAGAAAACACAGCTCCTTCTACACAGGTTGAAAATATTTGTGAAAATGCTCTAGGAAGCAGCCATATATTATTATGTGTATAATTATTCCTAAATAATTGTAGTGGGGTGTGTGTATGTGTAAGTGTAACGGTGGTGCCAATGTCGACAGCCTCCTTTTTTCTGTACAATTACCCTGGAAGAGGCAACATTTAATGAATGACATCCAGTTGCTTCTTAGAGCATTTCTTGAAGTATAGTGAATCAGCCAAGTTTGTTCTAAAAGTAAATTAAATCCTCCAGCATCTCTACCTAAATCACATCTTTCTTCATTCACTTCTTTTCTGTATACATATGTAAACAATAAAACAATTGTGGAAGCGTTTCTACTGGGGGGGGCAGGGAGATAACCATTTATAGTTGCCTGATTTTTTTTATCACCAATTTCAATCTCTTCTAGTTAATAAGAGGGTTCAGATAATGGATATGGCCACTGTATCCCAGAAAATTGGGAGCAAAGGGTGGGAGGGAGGAAAAGCTAAATATGGAAGAGATAAGTGCCTGCATTCTCCAGCATACTTGTAAGGTGCACAGACAACTTCAATACCTGCATTTAAAAGAGCTTGGGAAACTCCCAGCAAAAGTGTCATGCAAACCCTATTGAAGAGATCAACTTATATCAATGATAACAGACATCTGACAGAAGTTGCAGTAATCAAAAATATACTCTATGAACAAAATTTGCAAGCATCTTACTCTTCTATTATCTTGTAGAGAGCTTGGCAATCTTCTTTGTAAATTTCGAACTTGGGACAGTAAACGTACTCGTTCAAAAACTCATCTTCCGGGGTAAGAGCTGTGTTAACTGCATGCTATAGAGAGGAAAATAAAAGTCAACAGGGTTTCATATATTTAAGAGTCCAAAAGACATGATGTATATTCAAATAGAAGAATTACAGCCAGATGTTAAGTGTGTCTTTATTGCTGCAGGAGTTCTGAATAAACCAGAGGCTTTTTAAATTGCCCAAGAGCAAGAAAGACAAAAGCAAACTTTGGCCAAGCTCATGGTTAATGAAGCTGTCGCTGACTGTAATGGTTGCATGAAGAGTTACAAAAGCACATAAAAGTACTAATGGATCTCAGTTAACATATGGTACAAGTCATCAGCAAGCACATTCTGAAACTGAAGCAAAAAGTCAAAAAGAGCTTACGAGTATATATAGTGTGGGTCTTGTAACAATTTCCAAACACATATTTTACATGTTATTAAATGTAGATCTGTATGTCTGTATGCTTACTTTGGGTGAGACCAAACTCTGGTGAGGAGAGTGTATCACATCAACTTGGAGGAGTGTGAAAAATTCACCGACTGTGATAGTACCATCCTGCAGTTTCTGAAAATGAAGTGTTCACACATAACTACTTAAAAGAGTCTTAGTATTACCTGAGGTGCTAGATCAAAAACAAACAGAAATCATAATACCAAGATTAAAATGATAAATTAATAAAAAGCAGCCTCAGCAGAAACAACACAAACACAACAAATAAACAGCAGTAACATTCAGAGGCAACTGGTAACAGAGAGAAGACTATCTAAATGTCTTACATTACACATCTAAAATGGAAGCCTGCTGGATATCACTAGGGGTGTTATTCTATAACTGCAGCAATATATACACTGTTCACAGATAAGAGAATTAAAGGGCTTTAAGCTTCTTACATACCTCCTTCAAATTTTGGTCACAAATAATGTTCGTGAGAAGCGGAATCTCCATTTCACTATTTTGCTGAACTAGGAGGGAAAACAGATGTGCTAAACAAGAAATTGTGTCCCAATTATATACAGAATACCCACAATATATCAATGTTAAGTGAAGGCCACTTCAGTCTAGATTAGTGGCCTGAAGTGATTTTTATTATATTTGATTTAGGATTGTGATCTTTGTTAGATCAAGTCCTGGTGATCTTTGAGATCTTAACAATGAAGTGCCTGTAACCTAGTAGATCTGCACCCCCAATTCATAATACGGAGGTTTATAAAAAAATAATACAAATAGTGTAGTTAATAACAAAATGCTGCTCTCAAAATACTAGAAGCATAAAAAATGTTATGTAAAATCTTTAGATGATTCAAATACTATTCAATGCAGGACATGTGCCTTTTCCTTTGGTTCTAAATCTCAGGGCAATTGGCAGTTGGAACAGTTTTTTTCTGGGGGAGGGGAGAGAAGAGCAGCTCTCTGCAGTTGCTCATTTCTGACCAATGGCTGGAGCCAGGCTAGTTTTCCCCTTGGCCTTATGTTCCTCCTGGCAGAGAGAGGAAGCACAATCCAATAGCCTTTGGTAGACAGTTTAATACATGGGTATCTTCTAGAATTTACCAAAACAATATGCAACAATGCCAGAGTTTTCAACAGCATCGGACAAGTTTAGGGTGGATCAACCATCAATAGCTATTAAGGATCCATCTATCAATAGCAATTAACCCTAAAAGCTAAGAACATAAGCTTCTTATTAGTGTCAATAGACTTCCATAAATACTGGGGCAAATAGCCTATCTATATTCATCATACCCTGTGTGTGGGCTTGCTGTCTCTTTTTGAAAACAGAACACTGAAGGAGATGGACTTCTAGTCTTAGCCAGCAAGGCAGCTGCGTTCTTAGCAGTGCCAAAGGAAGAAAGGGTGAATTGCGGTAAGAGTATGACTGAAAACTGTAAGAGAACAGAGGACCTGGCACTTTTTTCCATTATAGCTTCCCACTTTGAAGAAGCATCTCAGAGGAGACTCTAATCAGAGGTGATGGTTTGGATTCCAAGTAGGTTAAGTAAGTTTACAGGATATTTTTTTACTGGCTTAACTCACCACTATAGCTATCTGCACCCACTCAAAAGTTTCACTCCAAGGGTTGGAGTGGGTGGGGCAGGGATACAGGGCTGCTGAGAAAGGAAAATTGCTCCAAACTAAGTAGACCTCAATTCACTGTCCTCTCCTCCAGCAGCTTCTTGCTCTAAGATATTGTTGAAATGCAAAGGGGGCAGGGACAGGTCTATTTGGACTTGCAAAAGTAGAACAGTAACCTGACGAAGCAAGACTATGCATATGGGCACAAATCAGATATAATCTTTTGACAAGTAATTTTGAGAAATTCCATTGGAACCCTTAGATGACACTAAATACACGAGTGTCTCATTTAGAAGCTTGTCTATCCTATTTGCATAGGTGTGCTTGTGAAGCCATTCATTCCTGAATACCTCTATCACATACAAGATACTGTAGTGTTCTTTACTGATGGAATTAGTTGAAATCAATATAATCAGATAAGAAGGAATTCTTACTAGAGACGTCTGTATCAGCCTTAACCGAATCCAAAGAGCTGCTGTTGCTGCTTTGCTTCTTTTCCATATTTGTAGCTAATAGGTCGGTAACATTTTCACCTTCCTGTGTTTCATGAGCTAACATTGTGCTGGAGAGTGGCTAAAATAAAAAATAATAATTATTCAATAAAAGTTAAATTAGCAAGATTATTTTGTAGATACAGCAACTCAACTATTTCTTTGTTTGCTGTGGATCACCAAATATTTGAAAGACCACCCGATTTTAAAAAAGTTATTTCTTACCCACCCTTCAGGAGCACAGCACTACAACTGACAGAATAATCAGTTGCCCCAAACCACTTAATGAATTTATAGCTACTATACCATTTCAGCTTCCTTTAGGATAAAACCCAGTTAGATATGTACTTTGTTCATTAATTCATAGGTGATTTTACAGACGTGAGAAAATGTGACCAAGTGCCAAACAATCATCTTAAACCCACCTGCTTTAACTCTACTGCATCATTCCAGCCCTCGTCTGTCTTGAGCTTCTTTTCCTGCTGAAGTTTCTCATCATCTTGATTCCAAGACCTTTTCTTCCTGTTACTTGTTTCAAACACGCCAAGCAGACAGCCTTCCGTATCAGCAAGCTCCTTTTCATTCATCAGCTTTTCTGGCACTTCACAACCTAAAGACTCATCAAAATCCACTTCACCTACACATGCAGGAAGCAGTTCTTCATCTATATAATGAGATGGACTCAAGTTGGGGGTAACTTTGTCCAGGGATCTCCTGAGAAACTGAGTGATTTTTGAACCTTGAGTTTCTACCTTCTCTTCTGATCTGGCACCAATATATTCTACATTAGAAACAGTAGGCTTCCTTTTATTTGGCAGTTTAGGTGGGAAGATACCCAGGGCTGATTTTTTCATCTTACAGCTATCATTCCACATGGCATTTAAGGGCACAGAGAGAGGAGCAACATCTGTAAAATCATTGTTTGTCCACTCATTAGAAGCAGCAGGAATATTAGATACTTTTTTTACATCTTCTCTCAACTCCAAATGATCAGCTGGCTTTAATGCCATTTGGGGCAATTCTTTCCCAATGTCTTGAGAGGGTAGGTAAAGTTCAGACTTCTTCCCATTATCATTAAACTTTGAACAATCACTGACAACATCAGATAGCTTAGACAAAAGGATTGGTTCCTCCTCTGAAGTAACGTTATTGATGGGAGGAGGGTCCATGTTATTATCTTTTGCAGTGCTACTCCAGTCACACAACACAGTACCACATTTTTTAGTTATTTTATCAACTGGAAAAGCCTCTGTTTCTCCAGCAAACCTACCAACCTGTCTTGACTGAGATAACTTTCTTGGATCATCTTTCAGGCTTTTGAATTCAGCAGTTGATATGCACATTCTCTCTGTGTTTGATTCAACAGCAGTTTCCTCATGTAACTTTGTATATGACGCAGACATTTTAACTGGAAATGTAAAATCATTTTTTTCACAATATACATCATTCAAGGTAGATTCTTTTGCAAAATTAGCTTTAAATGTGCAGGATTCCAGCTGTTTCTCTTGGATTTTCAAAAAGTTCTGTTGTTCTGGGACAATTTCCAGAGCTATAGGTAGCGTCACGCTGGCAGGTGAATTGCATTTTTGAGAGATATCATTGTCAATTTGGGCATCGTGTTTCCCCCCATAACTGAAATGGGGAAATTCAGAGCTTGATTTTGTCCGAGAATGAAAACATTGATTTTTAACACCATTCACCTCCATGTTCTCACTGCCTAAAAATCCAAAAGCCTTTTCTTCTGACCTTGTGGAGGACTTTGGTCTTTGCTTCTCAGCATCACATGGATAGTTAGGGTCGTAAGTGTTAACTGCTTGATTTCTAGCAGCTTCTATACCTTGCAATGTCCCCCTACATGTAGGGAAAGGTACATTACCTAAATTCTGTCTTAAGTTTTTAGTTACCATTTCTTGTTTCTCAGGTGCCTCCAGGTTCCCATTAACAGCAGCACTAGGTGGCAGGATTGTGACTTCTGTGCCATCCTGATAAAATGCAAATGCATCAGTCTTATTGGGGTGGCCTAAGAGCTTAGCTTGGCTAGCTGGCTGGCAACACAGGGATGTTCTGCTGTCAAATGGCACTGTCTGCCTTTTAACCATTTCTGTGCCAGCCATAGCTAATGTTGCAATTTGATCTGACGAGGGTTCCCATCCAGCATCCATTTCCAGCTTCATCACATTCCAAGGCAAATTTCCCTTAGGGTTTTTAGTAATGGCATAAGGTCCTGCAATGTTCATATCATCCTGATGAAACTGTATATGGGGAGAGTTTTCTGACTGGGAGATGTTATCAACATTTACAGTTATTGTATGGCACTTTGTCATCTCCATTTCATTATCATGTAGGGCAAGAACAGTTTTATCTGTAACTGAGCCTGGTATTGTGGTATTGCTCATCTCTTGCTGCGGCAAAGACTTGAAACATCTGTTTAAAAATGCACTCGATATGGGTTTTGTTATTTCCATTGAGTTATTACACATTATCGTTTTATTTGCAGGAACAAAAGTAGTGGATTTCATTATTGCTGCATCACTGCTGTGTGTGGACATACTGTTTTTATCTACCGGAGCGGAGGACAGTACTTGAGTAGCTACCTTGGCCCATGGGATAATAATATCACTGTTTACTGACACTGTATGGCTCCTCATAAACGTCATCTCATTGTCTTTATCCAAGCAACACATGGTCTCTTCCTTGGCTGAACTTGATCGAATCACCTTGTCCATCTCTTTTTTCTTCAGCTGCAAAGGCTTGAAAGCAGTATCTTCTCGAGATGTATTGATTATGTGACTTATAGGCTTAGTTACTTCCATGCCGTTATTGTGCATATACATAATCGTTTTACCTTCTGAAAAAGCTGTGGACTTGCTTATTGCCATGTTACTGCTAAATACAGACATGTTGGTACTCCCTGCAGGTATCCATGATTGTGCTAGAGGAGCTTCCTCTACTGCCATTGTAAAGCTCTTGGTAAACTCCATTTCATTGTCTTCACTCTGGGGAAATACAAGAGTTTTGTCACAAGCTGGTCCGGTTACATTAGTTGATCCCAACTTACTTTGTTTTTGCATAGCTTGGGCACCAGCAGCTTTTACAGGTTGATCTATTATGGTTGTTATGGCTTTAGTCTCGTCCATGTTGTTATGATAAACAGTTTTATCCAAAGGTTGTAAGGAGGGCACTTGAGATGTTCTTTCACACTGTTGTATATCATACTGCGCAGCTACTGTACAGCTCTTGGTAAACTCCATTTCATTGTTTCACTCAGGGAAAATAAAACTGTCTTATCTAATAGAGTTATACCTTTCTTACCAATTCCCATTTCTTGAGATGGCATATCTTGGAATCCAGCAGCATTTATAGGATTATCTATTAAGTATGTGGGTTTAGTTATTTCCATGTCCTCACCAAATCCAAATATAGAAGTTTTATCTGCAGAATTTAAGGATGCTGCATTGTTTAAAACCCCACTTTTTCTATTAGTGTTACCATGTAGAACAGGCATAGAAGTAACAGATCCGAAGGGCATAGAAAATGGAATAGTTCCCTGATAACAAGACACTGAGGCATCACTGCTAGCATTTTTTATGCGAACACCTCCTTCATTAACGTTTGCATAGTTTTGCCTGTTAGCGGGTCTTCCAAAATCTGTGTTCTTGCTATTTCCGCCTTCTAAGTAGGTATATACATTCTCCTTTGAAGGACACACATTTCTTTCTGAAGCCTCTGAAGCAATGGGTGAAGGAAATAGTTTAGTGGACTTCAAGCTTTTCAAGAAGTCATCAAAATTTATTTTGTTTGTGTTTTCAGTGTTTGTCTTCTGTTGAGACAAACAGGACTCATTCTCCTTTGTAGCGCAGCTATTAAAACTGAGATCATTCATTTGTATAACTTCTTGTTTCAATTCAGTGGCATGCTTAATTATTATAGTGTGACCAGACGTCATATCCATTTCATTTTCATCTGAGAAGAGAAGCGTCCTATCCATTTTGCTCCATTCTTGCTTGTTGTTTACGTTATCCTATAAAAAAAGAAGAAAAAGAAACAAACTGTTTACTGAAACTTATGTACAGGCAGCGACCACTTTAGGAACGTCCAACTGACATGTGACTGCCAAAACCCAGGTCCTTTTGGAGGGGAGGATTGGGGGTGGAAAGGGCTTATGCATGTTCCACTGATGGGTGTGGGGGCCAGGAATGGAGCCCCCATGCAAAATGGTTGCTGCCTATACAGTGGTACCTCAGGTTAAGTACTCAATTCGTTCCGGAGGTCCGTTCTTAACCTGAAGCACCACTTTAGCTAATGGGGCCTCCTGCTGTGCCGCCGGAGCACAATTTCTGTTCTCATCCTGAAGCAAAGTTCTTAACCTGAAGCACTATTTCTGGGTTAGCGGAGTCTGTAACCTGAAGCGTATGTAACCCGAGGTACCACTGTACTTAACTTCTAAGCACATTTAACCTAACTTTCAGATACCAAAATGGTAAGGCCAGCTTATACTACTGACTAGTTAAACAAACAATGCAAAGACTGGGGGGCAGGGAGGAACCAGGTCTTCTAAAGTAAATAAGTAGTCATACCTTAGGTTGAAGTAGCTTCGGGATAAGTATTTTCAGGTTGCGCTCCGCAGCAACCTGGAAGTAACGGAGTGCGTTACTTCCTGGTTTTGCCGCTCATGCAGACGCTCAAAATGACATCACGTGCATGCGCGGAAGCAGCGAATCGCAACCCACAGGCTGCGTTCGCTTCAGGATGCGAACGGGGCTCTGGAACAGACCCCGTTCGCATCCAGAGGTACCACTGTATTCTTCAGTGTGTTGCTCTTTATTTTGTTGACAGCAGTCTTTGCCAACCTGGTGTCCTCCAGATGTTAGACCAGAAGGCCCATCAACCTCAGCCACCATGACATCATTGAAGTTGTAGTTGAACAACATGGGGGGTGGGCAGGCCCAAGAACATCTGATTGATGAAAGCTAGCATACAGAATTTTATACTCGAGTGAGGCGGGTGGTGGCATGACAGGCCCGAAAGGAGCCCTTTCTTGCTGCTGGTCCCGCTGCTGCCGCCTGCTTCTCACAAGGGCACTGCGCTGCTCCCAACCGCGGCTCCTATGCCTGCCCTTGCGAGCAGCAGAGGTGGTGGTGGAGGAATAAGCAGCCTGAAAGCAGCCCTTTTGGGCTGCTTGTTCTTCCTCCGCCACTGCTGCCGCCACCAGGTTTGTGGTGTGGTGAACCAGCTTATACTTGAGTCATTAAGTTTTCCCAGTTTTTTGTGCTAAAATTAGGTGCCTCGGCTTATATTCGGATCAGCTTATACTTGAGTATATATGGTATTATGTTAGAGAAACAAATGTATTTTTTTTTTACCTCCAATTGTTGCAAAGGTGTCCTGATGGGAGCATGAAGTAAGGTGTTCATCCCTTTTGAGAAGGGGGAAAAATATATATCAAAAAATTGTTTATTTACGCAACAGACATTCTGAAGCCAAAGTATTGGCTGGTTAGTTCAAATTAATGCATGAATTTCAGACCTACCATGCTTCCTGGCTTTTCTTGCCACCTGGGGGTTGCTAGGTCATAGGAGCCATAACTGCCACAATTATTCTATCAGACTCCAGACTGGGGTGGCCGACCAAGAGATCTTGTGTGTGCCTCCATCAAGGTTTGTCCATTTTTTTAAAAGAACCAATTATTCCCATGCTGTGAATCCAAACCTTTTTTGGCCTAACTCTAACTCAGAACCCCCTGAATCCGTCCATTTTCTAAAAACATTATTTATTTTACTGATGAAGATGATCACAAAAACCTTGCACAAAGTAAAAACTGGCCATTTTCACTTTGGCCCTTGGAGAATTGACCATGATCTAGAAAAGGTTAGCCCTAGTAGCCGACACCACTTCTGAGACCCTCTGCTACCAGCACTGCTTTCAACATTCGGCCGCTGGTAGCAGAGGGACTCAAGCAGCTGCAGTTTCACCTGTGATATACTGCCGGGTGAAGCTGCCATCGCTCTGCCCCTCACACTGCAGAGAGAGGAGTATCACTGGGATAATACAGCTTGTTCCTTTCTTGGCTTCTTTGGGCTGCTATTGCCCCCCCCCAGCTGAGTGAGCCCCAGTGCTTCATGCACGAGCTGGAGAGGCATGGAGCTCACTCAGCAGGAGGGCCCTGCCACCCCCCAGCTAAGCCTCGCAAAGAAGCCCTGAGGTCCCTCCTGCTTGCAAGCAGCAGGGACATCGGGACTTGCTCAGCTGCGGGGCAGGAGCAGAACAGGGGAATCCCCACTTATGTGTTTAGGTGATGTGAACAGTGGTCCAGAATGGAACCCCCACATAAATGAGGACTCACTTGTATCACATAGGAGAGCTGCAGAAATAAGGTGGCCAAGGGAGCTGTGGACTCAAAAAGGTTGAAAACCACTGCTTCAGGGTGCAAGCCAACTTCCCACTGGTGTGGTTTTACAGAGAAATAGAGCCACTGCTGCATCCACACCCACCCAGTCTGCTCTCAGTGGCGACAGTGGAAGGTAGGGCAGGATCAGGTCTGATTCCTGTGTCAGCTCCAGGCTTGTGCATCAGTCAGTTCTGATCAGGCCCAATGCCAGTTCTGATTAGGCCCAATGCCATCACATGATGGCAGCAAAACCAGCTTAGGACCCATTGGAACCTGGGGCAGCTCAAACCCGCCTTCTCTCTCAGAATACCCGGTTTTGAGACTTTCTGCTGGCCCCCACCAACAGGGATACTGCCAGTAGCAAAGGTACACTTCCACCCAATCCAAATCTTTCAGTCTGGTGTAAAGGGCACTGGTGTTGGATTGCTGTTCTAATCCAAAATCAACAATTTCTTCATCCTTCACAGCAGCTGGACTGTTTAGTTCTTCCAGCAATCAAACTTTCTATGTCACCACATGGGATCCGAGGCTTTATTGCCACAAATTAAGTATGATCTATGTCACTTCCAAGTAGCAAATATATTTACAAAACCATATCATACAAAATTTTAACATATTATCAAAAAGCAGTGGATATTTAAAGGTAATTGCTGTTTTCATACGTACCAGTGATATTACACAGGTCGGCCTCCAGTTCTGCATTCCTTAAAAAGGCAGTAACAATAAATCATAACTTGATTTAATTTATATCAAAGATTATCTCAACAGGAAAACTAGCAATTAACAGAACTATAACTGCTGGAATTATACCACTACTTCTATTATACTATGACCCTGTCACATGCACTTTAATTGAAATCCAACCCACCATTAAGATCAATTACAAATGCAGTTATCAGTTAAATCACTCTTCCAGCTCTAAAGGCATGTAATAAAGTTTCCTATGCAGTAGATCCCTTCATCAAGTCAATCATTCTCACATTGTCTATTGGAATATACCAGCATGCCATGAGAAAGCAATACACTGAGTACCCAATCACTCCAGAGTTAGAATTTATGCCCTCAGAGGAGGCTGACTATTGCCATCTTGCACACTCTAGGAACAAACGCTATCAGGTGGAATTTCAGTCCATGAAAAATGATTTCCCATTTACCAGAAGTTTAGGAAACACTGCATTAAGCAGTCAACACTGGTAGAAGTATTATATGACTGGAAATCATGTCTCAGACTACAGTGGTACCTTGGTTTACGAACTTAATCCGTTCCGGAAGTCCGTTCTCAAACCAAAGTGTTCTTAAACCAAGGCGTGCATTCCCATACCAGCAGGGGACTCAATTTAGAAATGGAACACACTCAACAGGAAGCGAAACGTTCTTATTCCAAGGCAAAGTTCGCAAACCAAAACACCTACTTCCGGGTTTGCAGCTGTTCATAAACTAAGCTGTTCTTAAACCAAGGTACCACTGTACTTTAAAACTGAGAAATCTGTTCAATTAGGCAATTCATTTCAGGCTTACTGATTAAATGTGTCTTGGTTCTTCGCTGTTGCTGTTCCTAAAATTAAACAAAAAACATCATGAAAGAAACATCAGCATTAATGTTGGTGAATGTAATAAGGCTCTCGTTATCATCCCAAAACATAAAAATGAACAAAAGTTCTCACCGGTATGGTCTGATACCTCAGTGGCTGGAGGATCTGATGGGAAGATGCTAAAACACACAGACAAAAGGAATTACAATTTTACTAACTTGGAAATATTTGCTGTAAAGAAAACAAACATTCATATTATTTATTTAATTTCTATACCGTCCTATACCCGAAGGTCTCAGGGCGGTTCAAATACACAAAACCAAAATACAACAACCCAATAAAAAAACCCTAAATAAAACCCTATATGTGCACCGACTTTGTTTTTGTCACAGCTCAGGATACAAGGAGTCCCTTGCATTCATGCAAAGTTGGAACTAAAGTATGCTATTGGGAGAGTGCACAAGTTAATTGTGGATAGAGCAGTTAGCCTTTATAACATAAAAGTTTTAAAACTTGATTTAACCTTTTATAATTGACAGGCTGAGTTTTTGGCCCTTTCTTAAAACGTATCCATTCATTTGCTTTTAATTCCTAGCTTGGTTGTAATGTATTGTTGGATACAGTCTTTTGTATCTTGGTGTGTTTTCTTACACTACAATCCACATATTAAAATGCATTATATTCATATATTGTGAACTGGTTTGTTATGATTTAGATGAAGAGCAGTACATAAATGTCTTAAATAATTAAAAACAGTTCTCTCCCCTTGCTTCTCACAACCCTGGGAGATGGGTCATGCTAAAAGCGAGAATGAATGGCACAATATGAACCTGGGTCTCCCAGTCCTAGGCTGACCCTAATCACTAAGCCATGCTAGCATAAAATAATAAAAATGTGTTTCTATCGTTTGTGCTTAGAAACTGTCTCCATTCCACAAATAGCACTATTTAGTATATTCTGACAATAGCAAAAAATCTGCAATGAGACCAAATGGGATGTCAGTACACACCACAAGCAATGATCCATCTTCCAAACTTGTTTCCAAATGTGTTAAAAAGTGGTAATACTAGTCTGTAGCATAACAGTACATATTGTTTAGGACCGTCAGAACAGCATGCTGGGATTTTTAAATACCCCATACCCCATTTTCATTAAGTAAAGAGCAGCTAAATTGATATTTTTAAATCTTGCCTTAACAAGCATTTCACTCATCAATCTAAGAGAGAATGTAGACAGCTGATAAGGATCTATAGCTTTTTTAAGTGGAGTATGGGGCTGTTTGCATTCAAGACGAGTTTTATAGATCTGCTACTTTAAGAATAAGCTTACCTGATAGTAGCTGCAAAACTGACACGCCTGGAGTTTCTCTGACGTTTTTCAACATTGCAGTCCTGAATATGCAACACAAATTAAATGCATAGGCAACAACTTTTATCTGAAAGCTTTCAACCAGGATACCTGATATTAAGTGTTATTATTGAAAATTAACCTTTAGGAACAGACATATATCTATGGCACCTGAACACATTTAAATTGCAAACATGCTAAATATCCAATGCTCATGGAGCTGGTTTTCAAGTCACCCAGTGGCACAGAGAGTTTGTATTGCACCCATACATGCAAATTAACCCGTTGGGTGAAATCCAATGCTTTTGATCTAGCAGAGCAAACTGCTAATGTAAAATGAAGGGAGGCAATTTTCTCTGATTCCTTGGTCCCTTTGCAACACATCCACACATTTTTCATGCTGCTTTGAAAGGTTCCCCAAGCAGATTTAAGGAGCTGTAGCAGGAATGGGAAGAAACCTCCTCCAACCCCTGTGAGCCATTTTGATTCAATCACATGCCATTTTCTTTTGTCCACTGGAAATGAAATCAGACTTTATGGGCAAAAGGAATTGGGCTTCTTAATTGAAGCCAATCAACTGATAGATGGCTCTTGCACAGGCATATAAAATAATAATAATAATAATAATAATAATAATAATAATAATAATAATAATAATTTATTTGTACCCCACCCATCTGGCTGGGTTTCCCCAGCCACTCTGGGCGGCTTCCAACAAATATTAAAAATACATTAAAATGTCACACATTAAAAACTTCTCTTAACAGGGCTGCCTTCAGATGTCTTCTAAATTTCAGGTAGTTTTTTATCTCTTTGACACCTGATGGGAGGGCGTTCCACAGGGCGGGCACCACTACCGAGAAGGTAGTATATGATGTCAGATGTAGCACTGGTAGGCTGGGCCTTATTGGCCAAATCAGATCCCCTAACAGGCTTAATTAGGCATGCAGACCAGAGGTTCCCCAACATTACATTACCAGGCTACTCCACTGAATTGAAAGCTGCTCGGCAAGTGGGATGGCAGCAGTGAATTTCACCCACTAACTTGAGACAAGGCTACTTCAAAATAAATATGTCAAGAAGTTATACACTTTTTAAAAATATAGACATCTTTTTAAAAAAATTAACCAGTGGTAGGTTACAGACACTGACTTACATTTGGAGATGACCTCACTTGTATGTAATGTAATGCCTACCTGAGTTAATTCATTTCCACTCCCTAAGTCACGGAGAGGGGTCTGGGGAGCTTTTAAAATCTACAAAGGAAATAGGCATCATTGAGAAAACAATTTCTGAAGCAGCTACAAAACTATTTCTTAAAGCAACATGGCATATTATACAGTAAACAGATTTCTGGTTTGTGGAACAACTTCTCCTATTCAAAATAGTAGTACTGTATGCATATATCTCCAAGAAAAAGCCTTTCAGAATGCACTAATGCACTTAAAGCAGATTTCTGAATTGTCACTCAGGATAGTAATTCATTCCTTACTATCCTTGTAATTTTTAATAACCAAGACTAGCAGTCTGAATATTTCAAGTCAAAAGCAGATGAACACACTCCAACTGAAAAGAAGAATGGAACTGTCCTAAAGAAAATTACCAAATGTATTTGCTATGTCTGCAATCCAAATAAACATTTTCATGTATGGAAATGAACTTCATACACTGTTGTAGCATTATTTCCATAGATAACACTGCAAGACACTTGGAACTATACAGTTGCTTGCATTTTTGTCTGCAGAGCTTCAGTAGCAAGAATTTCTATAAAATCTGGCTGAGGCTTTCCCCCTTCCCTACGGACAAATGGCTTAAGATTCAGTCTACAGATTGTTCTAGAAGTTTCACTTTGCACGATAGCTCAGAAAGCAGGAAACTTGGCATATGTATTAAATATAGGTTAATATGATAGCTTAAACTATTGTTTAAAAAATATGTTTTAGCCCATTATTGACAGAATTGTCACAAAATACAGAGTTTTAGATCATGAAGCTCCATAAGAGCAGAGTAAATTTAGTATCAGAAAATTAGCTCTCTCTTTTTTGCCACCATTACAGAAAGAGGCACAATATATATGTAATGTTTAGAGTCTTGATTGCTGAACAGAATATTCAGAATTTCATTATGATACATTCTTTGAGTCTGGGAAGTCCTGCTCACTGCCTTGCAGGCCTTTTTCTACCTGGCCTAGGAGAGTGATTGACTCCAGCTGCTACGGTATTTGGGGGCGGGGACACCATTTTGGAAGCAGGGGTGTTGCTGTTATTAATTTTTTGTATCTTTATGTTGGATGTTATGATTTATGCAGAAATTGTTTCAATTTGGTTGTATACCTTTTGATGTTTTATTGTTTATGACTACTTTTGTTATATTTGTAATTATATTTTTTTCGTGTTGTAAGCTACCTTGAGCATGGTTTTAACTGCAGAAAGGTGGCACACAAATAAAATTATATATGTATGCAGCTGCAGGCCAGGAATAAAGTTATCCCTAGGACAGGAATAAAGTGGATAATACATAGATAATTGCAAATGTTTCACATTGCATTTATTTTCATTTTATGCATTTGTTTCCCACTGTTCATCAGGTGGGTTACACAATAAAATGACAAAATGTAGGATGTAATCAGGCCAACTATAATCATTAGCACAACAAATACAAAATCACTAATAGGAGGATAAGACCAATGAACTAATTTCTCTCTGTACAAGCGAGTGAAGTCAGGATTACTACAATCTACTGTGGCAGATTACAATCTACTACAAAATACTGTGGCAGTAGGGACGCGGGTGGCGCTGTGGGTTAAAGCCTCAGCGCCTAGGACTTGCCGATCGAAAGGTCGGCGGTTCGAATCCCCGCGGCGGGGTGCGCTCCCGTCGCTCGGTCCCAGCGCCTGCCAACCTAGCAGTTCGAAAGCACCCTTAGGTGCAAGTAGATAAATAGGGACCGCTTACTAGCGGGAAGGTAAACGGCGTTCCGTGTGCTGCGCTGGCTTGCCAGATGCAGCTTGTCACGCTGGCCACGTGACCCGGAAGTGTCTGCGGACAGCGCTGGCTCCCGGCCTATAGAGTGAGATGAGCACACAACCCTAGAGTCTGCCAAGACTGGCCCGTACGGGCAGGGGTACCTTTACCTTACTGTGGCAACGTGCTCAGGGAATCCATTTTGAAAGTTAAAATGTTAAGCAAGGAAGCCATTCTGTTGATCTGGCCAGGCCCCATATCCAGTAAATACACTCAAGACACCCACTACCCAGAGACACACAGAGATAGGCTGATAAAGATTACCACATAAGGACATGGAAGGGTAGTGTCCAACTCCTCATGCCTTATCTCTAGGCGGAACCTAATGTATCTATCTGGAACACAATCTCCAGGCTAAGCAGTTCTTGTCTCCAGGCGGAACCTAATGTATCTGAGTACTGTACAGTATGTGTAATGCTGTAACTTTTGATTGGATAAAGACCTGATTTAAGAATGTACTGTATAAAGGGAAGCCTCCCCTGTTTGGAGGGGCCGGACTTTGGAACTTATTCCTCTGTGCCATTGCTTGCTGCCGGCAAATAATTAAAACTTTCTTGCTTTATTTCTCTGACTGCTGCATGGTCATTTGACTGGCCTAACCAATTGCTTTTGACCAAACTGCGGGAGGCAGTGGAAAACAGGAGTGCCTGGCGTGCTCTGGTCCATGGGGTCACGAGGAGTCGGACACGACTAAATGACTAAACAACAACAACAACCAATTGCTACATTTCTTCTAGAAGAAAATCTATATATATATATAGGTCTTATTCAAAGCTACACTTACTGAGGAAATCCTTCTTTTCTTTCTGCCCTCTGTGAAGTCACTAAAAAAGAAAAAGGAAAACTCTGTGAAAGTTAAACCTCAATCCTCCTCAACACACCTTATGCAAAATTGTTTACAGTGAAAAGCAAGAAACTTTCTGAAAAGTAAAATACAGGTTTAAAATTTCAGAACTTTTATGAAAGTAAACAGTCATTACTCAAATACAAAGCACACGCATTGTAATCTCACAGGCCACCAGCTGATAGAGACATAACAATCAGCAAATAAAAAACAACAAATTGTCATCACAGAAAAGGCATGCACTGAAAGCACAACTTACTTTTCATCACTCATTTCGGAATAAATCTTGTCCATTTTGGAAGACTGGTTTCCTACAACAAGTGGAAAATTAGTCTTAAAACTCTGTGTGAAAGCACAGTAGAACAAGCTGCCACAGGTGTTCTTTGAGACAAAATTAAATGAAAAATGGACACTACAGTATTTGGCTACCATCAATAAAACTCTCTAGACAGCTTAAAACAAAACCACACATTATAAAATATTAAACCTAAAAAATACAGTAATTTTAAAAAAGAACCCAATAAAAACAGTAAGATGTTCCTTCTAGTACAGAATAACACAATTTGCAGGCCAGAATAAAAATAATACTAAAAGAGCAAAAGTGTATAGTTTAGTTGAAAACACATTTAAATACTAAAAGACTAGGATTGGTTTTAAAACACAAATTCATAAGGTGTGAGTGAATAAAATGTTCTTCAATGGGTGGGAAGACCATAAAGAAGATGCCAGGCGAGCCTCTCTGGAGAAGCTATTCCATTACTGTACTTCCAATGTTAACTTCCACTTAACTTCATAGGGCCGCAGAAATGCTCCCCCCGTCTTTTTTTTATTTTTATTTATTTATTGAATTTGTATTTAAAGAAACAACTGACTTTTAGAAGACATCTGAAGGCTGCCCTGTTTAGGGAAGTTTTTAATGTTTGATGTTTTATTGTATTTTTATTATTTGTTGGAAGCTGCCCAGAGTGGCTGGGGTATAAATAATAAAAATTATTATTATTAGTAGTATCTACCATGGTTCACAACATAAAATCTTAAGCCAGCTGTCATCTTTCCGCTAAACTTCTCCTCTAGTTTCTGCTGTCATTTAGTTTTTCCTACCGCCCCCCCCCCCCATGATCAGGTGAGTTAGTTTGAAAGTATTCCTTCTTCAAAGCGCATCTCAGGGGGGACACACACCACCATGATGTAATTCAATTATCACAAATGACTCTTTAAACTCGGGCCTTTAGCAGCACACTCCTATAAACGTCTACTCAAAAGCAAGGGAGCTTACTCCCAGGAAAGTGGGCCTCCAGCCTAAATCTAGCAAGCCAGAGGCAGGAACTTCTGGCAGTACTATATAAAATATTGCCTCACTTGCCTTTTCCTTACTTCCAACAAAGGCGCCAGGAGAAATGCGCTAACTCGAGGTTGCCCGCAGTGCACGGTTTACTCGGAAGTAAGCCGCGTTTAAGTCAATGTCGCGCGCTAGAAATGGGTCAAGGCGGGAAAGAAATTAGGGGAAAGCTGCTCAGATGTTGTTAGCCCAGAGACTGAAAGAAGACACAGGCCCTACCAGAGAGGAGAGTGGCAGATTAAACGGATGGATTATGCCCGAATAGCAAAAATGACCGGAAGAATTAGAAACCAGGAAGACCAAATTTTTAAATAAAGAATAGGGAAAAATATATAATTTACCTTAAAAATCATTGCAAACAATGAAAAATATTAGTAGGATTGGAATGAGACTTGTAGTTTAACGGTTGTCATGGAGATTTAATAGAGAAGATACAGGAGGAAAAAAGTTAACATACACAAAGGGGAGGAGAGAAAGTTCAGGGGAATGCATGGAACTCTCTTTTTATTTTGGTTGGTTGTAAATTTCAAAAGGTGAAAATTAAATAATTTTAAAAAAGAAACCGGGGTTAAAGCAACTCGGCGAGGGTGGGGAGCAGGAGGGCGAGGGAGGGAGCAGCACTCCGGGCTGGAGCCGCTTCAGTGCCGCCAGCGCCGAGCCCAGAGTCACGCGAGGAAGGAGATTTGGGGAGGCCGCTAAGCGCCCCCCGCCCCACTTGCCGGACTAGGCCTTGCTCCCTTCCCCTCACGCCGACGCTCTCGCTCCTCGCTCACCTTCCCGGGTGCGGTCTCCAGCCGCACACCCGTCTCCTCTGAGGCCTCGCCGCGACTGAAGGCACAGCGCCCGACTAGGCTCCGCGGGATTCAAAATAACCGCCAGATTGCGCGCATGCGCCTCCAACCGCCAACCTCGCTTCAAGGCCTAAATGGCGGTTTCGGATAGGCGGCGCGGCAGCGCCCTCGTTCCGTACAACATGGCGGCCTCCGTGCGGTGAGGCCTACGGAGCCACCGCCGGGAAAAGGATAGGCAGGAGCCCACGAAACGTTCTGTGGCTTCTCGGGAGAGTTGTTGTCATTCTTCAGGACATTCGTCGTACCGCACACGGCATAGCGTTTGCTCAAGGGCGACGGTATATTCATCTAAGCCGGTGGGTGGCGAGAGAAAGGTTTGCAGTTGGAACAGTTCCTTATAGGCTTGGAGAGAGTGAGGGTTTCTGTGACGAGGTGGCCGAGTGGTTAAGGCGATGGACTGCTAATCCATTGTGCTCTGCACGCGTGGGTTCGAATCCCATCCTCGTCGGAAGTTTTTTGTTTAATGTAAAACAATTCGGCGTGGCTGCTTCTGATCTTTATTTACTAAGCGGGCAAATTCTTTAATATGTGCTGGACACGCAGTAATGCAAAGCCAAGTGTGTCGGGGGTGAGAATCTGAATCCCGACTTATTCATCCACTAGTGAGGTTTACTTATTTGGGGTGGGGAAACTTCAGTCGAGAAGCAAAATGCAAAACCCTTTCACCGCCGCCGTGCAATAGAAACAATAGTAATACATTTGGAAAACCGTTAAAATGATATGCATTGAAATTCAACTAGGGGGATACGAGGAAGTCACTTAACAATGTTAAGATAATTAGTTTTAAGAAGGTTATGATTTATGTTTGTCTGTTTATTTGTTAGTGTTTTTAATTTTGTGAAAATCAATTTTAAAAAATGGGTGGGGTGGGGTGGAAGAAACAATAGTAATACAATTATGATCATTATCATTGCACTGTGCTTGGGAGGATGGCCACTGCTTTCCCCGGAACTTCTGAATGTGAAGGAAGGCAATTTTCTCTCTTCCAAAGAAGCTTTACCCCGAAATCGTAAGTCAGGATGACAACTGTGCTGAATGAACTTCATTCTAGCCCCCTAAAAGAGCTCACGCCCCCCCAAAGGAGACAAGGTGACATTCAATGTTATTCCCATATTGAACTTAAGGGTCCACATTATTTGCCAACTGATTTCAGTCGATCTGCGCTGCATATGACCAGCGTTGAACAAGTCAGCCTTAAGTATTTAGGTGGCACAAATCTCTTAGCTGTTTATGTTGCAACAGGCTAACTACCCTTTGCAGAGAAAAGATAGCAACTGCTGCTTTTTATTTAAATATTTTCATTTAGTTTTTTAAAATTTCCATACTGCTTTATATTTTTAAGATAAATTTCAAAGCGGTTTACAGTAAAGGTAAAAGGTAAAGGTACCCCTGCCCGTACGGGCCAGTCTTGACAGACTCTAGGGTTGTGCGCCCATCTCACTCAAGAGGCCGGGGGCCAGCGCTGTCCAGAGACACTTCCGGGTCACGTGGCCAGCGTGACATCGCTGCTCTGGCGAGCCAGAGCCGCACATGGAAACGCCGTTTACCTTCCCGCTAGTAAGCGGTCCCTATTTATCTACTTGCACTCGAAGGTGCGGGACCGAGCAACGGGAGCGCACCCCGCCACGGGGATTCGAACCGCCAACCTTTCGATCGGCAAGCCCTAGGCGCTGAGGCTTTTACCCACAGTGCCACCAAATCAATAAAACATAAAACAATCTGAAGGAAGTCTATACTTAAGCATGCAATCACCTTGGGCCAAATCCTCCTGCTGAGGAAAGATTTCCTATTGTAGAAATTTGTGCTCATTTTTCTTCAGCAGCGTTCGTCATCGTGTTCACATCACTGTGTTTGCTTTCACTCTTAAACTAGGGTTTGGTGACTGTGTCTAGATCCTTGAACTCCCTCCTAAGGCAGGCACAATTCAACCTCGTTTGTTAATGGTCTTCCAGAAATTAATCTAAACTTTCCTGCTTTTAAGATTTCCACATTGTGGTCTGTGGTTTTACTGTATTTATTTTAATTTGCCAAATTGCTGGTGTGGGTGAACTAGTGCTTTTTAAAAAGTGTTGGAATATTTCTGCAATAACAGGTCTATTAAATTGCTAAATTCTGTTACCCGCTGAGCCTTTTCCTTTTTTAAGGCAAAATAAAGGTTTTAAATAAGAAAAACCCTCCCTAATAATATAGCCTCTATGTGACCTTTGACAGTACCATAGGACTCAACTCCTAAGTCTCTTCAGTCCCCCAAATAAATATTTGAGGGGTCCCACCCCCAACTTGATGGGCATTGCCATTCAAATGGTGTGTGTGCTGCATCTTGTGATTGATTATGACTTACCTGCTCCCCCAAAATACTTTTTTTCAAGTTGGCACCTCTGGACAGTGCTGTTTCTTCAGGTGAGAAAATCCAAATTCAACAAGCATAGACAGACGCTATAATGCAGGCACTTTCAAGCATACTGACCTTGTCCCAAAAATTACAAAGAGAAGTTTAATGTGTGTATTTTATTACAAATGGTTCGCTTCCTCCTGATTTTATAACCACAGATGAATGCTTTGAAGAGACCAGAATGAGCTCTATTCATTACAGAGATTTTTTCAAGCAATGAAGTAGGTGGCGAAGGGCTCCCTCAAGGCAATTCTGTTCCTCAGGTTAACTATCTTTGTAACTGTTTAATGAGCCTCCTTGTACAGTTAATTTATTGGGATGGTTAACACAGAACCATTAAGGAACAGATTAGCTGAATGGAAGCCAGCCACAGTAAAACTGAGCATGGAGTATAGAAACATGCATCGTGGAAAAAACTGCCAAACCGTGACAGCCGGACCTTACAATCTGTACTTACCTCAATGGTGCAAGTCCACTGCATGCTTGAATAAATCAATTTTAAAGCCTACCATGGGCAAATAAAATGTGGCTTATTACAATATATAGTGGCTGCCTTAAGTACAGGGTTGGGCTCGTCAATATTTAAATGAGTTGCTCTGCAGTAATAGCAATTTTAAACTTTTTTTTTTAAAAAAAGCACTCCCAGTGAATTCCAAATTATAACATCTTTACTATTTATAGTGTTTCACATTCCAGACCCCGTAGGATGGTAACAGGGTTGACACCTGGACCTTAGAGGTGTACCATAGCAGGTGCAAAACTCCTGCTCAACCCAGCAGTAAGCTAGAAAAACTGATGACAGGATCACCAAAAGGAAGGGGATGGGTGGGCAGAGTTGTGAGTGCACTGGAAGCTGAGACTGTACACATGGAGTTCAATAGTAAAACTATTTTCTTGTAATCTCTACAAGAAGCCACCTAGATAGGAACCTCCTTTATTTTTGTCATATTGGTTGCTCCGAAAACTTAAAATAGGGCCACTAGATATTAAAATATAGTACTACTGTCTTATATAGTACTACTGTCTTAGGTAGATAATCATGACTGCAGTTCATGAGCAATAACCAGACAGTGTTTAGGAAAATGCAAGTAAAAGCCCTCTATTCTCAGAGAGGGAGGGGAACACTTGGTCCTAGACAAGGCAAAGCATTCCCACCTCCCACACAATGAAGACATTTCCATTGTTTCTCAAGCCCAAGGGGAAGAAGACAGGAATATAATAAACTGTTCTCATATAAACACCCTGCTTCAACCCTACACAGATGTACATTTGATTAGTAGTTTCAACCATCTGAAAGGCTCTGTCATCACATTCCTTCTTATAAAACAGAGCTGAACCTTTTTTTTCTGCAGAAGGATGCATTCCATCAGGGGCAACATTTACAGAGCTGTATGCCAGGGGCTGCTGTTGCTCAATTCACCCCATTCACACACACCCCTCACCCGCATCCATTTACAAACCCCAAACCAAGCTGCTGCTTCAAAGCACTCTCTCTGCAGCTTTTCACAGACCTAATGATGCTTGATAAGGTTTCAGCAATTATAAGGTCCAGCTGTGTCTGCAAGAAAGCTGAAGTGCTAGTTGCTGATGCAAACCTAAGCACTACACGGCCCAACTGACTACACACAGAGAGATAGACACTCTGAGCTATTCCTCCTTAGACAACCTGTTTGGCTTCTGTGCTGGGCAAGGAGAACATGGAAATGTGGCAGAGGCAGCCATGGACTGAATACACTATGGGTCATATTTGGCCCAGTGTCTAGTCATTACCCACCTCTTGATATAAAGGCAGTTGCCTCAAGCACTGCAGTGTACTCTCATTCAAACCCATTGGCCCATTCATGGAAAAGGAACCAGGATTAGCAATGAAGTCACTGGCCACAGAGAAGAGATCTTAAAAAGGAAGCCTATTTAAAAGCATCTTCACCCCCCCCACTGTATACTTAGGACAGAATGGATCAACATGGACACAGCTTTTTCTTTTCTTTTTTAAGTGGGACTGTTCTCTCCTCTTCCAATACTGTTTGGCACTTTCAGCATGGTTTCTTACAGTTGCCTGTTATAGCTGAAGCAGAAAACATGTTCAAGGTTGGTTTACTAACCATGATTTCAGGTCCTGGGTAGTAAACCCACAGTTCCCTACTTCAGATGTAATGGGAAACTGGTTTAAAGAAACCACAAGGGAACAGGGAGCATGCAGGTCTGACCCTTGTTCCCAGCTTAATAAATCATCTACTAAGCCAGGATTATTACATATGAACTGACCAATTCAGTGTGCATCTAAATATGTAAAATGTGAATGCAAGCTTCCATTTCTTTCTCACACACACTAACACACAGTCTTTACAGAGTATTTTAAAAGTCTCAGGTCTCTTCCCAGTCATCATGTGCCCAGGCTGGCATCTTAGAGCAATATTCAAATTCTGCTCCCTTGTAGCGCAAAGCATGGAGATACATCACTAGATCTTTGGGTGATGGGTCCGGCCTCACTATCTTGCATTCTCCACAGAGAGGGTCCTTTTCGTCCCAGGACTCATTTGAGCAAGTTTCTCCACTTTCCGTCTTGTGCAGCTCTGCCTGAGGAACAGAATTCTGAGAACATGCCGATATCCTGCTCTTTTCTCCACCTGCAGATTCCTCACGAGTGCCAGAACTGACATTTACAGCGGTGTCCAACACAGCCTCCTGCACTCTGTCTCCTACAATGGGTTTCAAATCTTCCTCAGCAACATCCAGGATACCCAAGCTCTGTTTTGAAAGATGCTCCTCCACCAAAGCCCGAAGCAGCTCATCATCCGTCTTATTAATATGGCCACCTTTGCCCTTTTTGGGACCCCAGGCATCGGTGTTGTAGATGGGGTCATTAACAATAGGGTGTCCCAAAAACTGGAGATGGACACGGATCTGATGGGTGCGGCCAGTGTAAGGAAAACACTTCACCACACTAGTCTTGCCATTGTAGCTGAGCCTCCGGAAGACCGTTTTACAGACTTTACCCTTGGGGTCCACTCGACACACCCCGACTTTGTAAGAGACAACCAGGATGGGTTCTTCGCACGTCACCTCATTTTCTGGGAATTCTCCAAGTACACGGCACACATACTCCTTCTCCAGCTATTGCGGGGTATGGGGAAGTGGGGTGAAGGAAACAAAAATAAGAATCTGTTTAAGTTCTAGAATGCAGAAGCCCCACAAAGACCACTGCATGGTATCTGGCAAGGGTCTGAACCAGTACCTATGCCTATCTGAGTGCTTTATGCAAGGGTAATGTCCACCAAATCCCTTCATTTCACTGTGAATTTTTCTATAGACAACAATAATGTGTCATAGTGGTTGGAGTGTTGGGCCTGTCTGAATCCCTGCTTCTACCATGAAGCCAGTGTTAGAAACTCAAATATATAAGCTAGGTGCCAAATGACTCCTTAAACCAGGGCTACAGTTGCAAAAATGGAATGCCTAGTTGTCATTTTGAGGCCAGTTGGCTTGAAAGTCAATATGACCTTTGGGTTCCTGAAATTCATTCTGATTGTGCTGATAAAATATAACAGATAGAATTCTACAGGATGTGTTGCTAGTGTGTGAAAACAGTCAAAATCCAAGGATCCCCAGGCATGCACCTCCAGATGGAGGAGAGACATCAGGTGCCATCCTGGCGCCCGGGCATCTTCATTTGGTCACAAGTGCATCATTTGATAGCCAGGTGCAAAATGCGCCTGGCGAATTTTGAACGTTGCATGAAACTCAATGGGTGTCACTCTAGCCTACTTTACAGGGTTGCTGTGAGGACAACAGGAGAGTATAACTCCACCTTTGTATGTCTCCCTGAGTTATTTGGAGGAAGGGTGGGTTATAAATGTGAACAAAAACCTTCGGGGCTTCACCTGTCGCTGTCGCACTTGCTCATCGATCCTCTTGGACACTTCTGCAGACTTTGCGAACATGAGGACGCCTGACGTCAGGCGATCCAACCGATGAATAGTGTGCAACTCCTTCAGGTTGTGCTCTTTACCCAAAATAAAAATGACAGTGTTGTGCCGAAATCTGCCACATGGATGGACAGGCAAGGATGAAGGTTTGTCTACAACCACAACCTCATCATTTTCTTCCAGGAACTCAATAGCCTGTGCTGTGACTGGAGGTTCATGGCGGTGTACGGTGTTCCGGATGAAGTCATTATTCTGAAAGCAAAACAATTACTGTACGTTAGCAGGAGCAGGAAACTTCCTAGAATAGCCTGTTTGTGAAGAATTATGGTTATTAGCTCCATTTACTAAAAAATAAATAAAAATGGGGAAAATAATAAAAGGGAATATTATTATCTATTGGTTATATATCCCCCAAGGATGCGCAAGGTGGGTAACATTATATATAGCAGTGTAATTTATATATAAAACTCTAGCACTTAACTAAGACTGCAATCCTAGCCTCACTTCCTGGGAATAGGCCACTATGAATGCAATATGATTTACTTCTTAGTAGAGATGGTTAGGCTAGCATCCTAACTAAAACATTGAAAATATTTTGTTGTATCAAAAATACATTATCCTATGTCAGGTAAAGGCCTTCATATTATGTCAATTTCTATGATGTCTTGTTCCAACAACAACAGGGAGCAAAGTGAATTCTAATTTACATCTTTACAAACTAAAACAAAAATGCTTTCTGCCATTAATGTACATAATGACATGCTCCCATGAAATAGTAAGAATATTAGCAAAAACAATGAAGAGTCTTAGGGCACCTTACAGACTAACACATTTATTATGGTATAAACTTTTGCATGTAGACTACAGTCCACTTTGTCAGATGCAGGAAATGATGGTCCAGACTTGAGGGCAAATATATTCATGACTTTGAAGTGTGTGTGTTTGGGGGAGAGAATTGAATATAGTGAGATCAGATGGAAATGATAAGCAGGTAAGTACAGAGAGTGGTAATTAGCTTATTAACAGTGACAATTCACAGATATGTTTTCATCACTTTAAACAGGAAAATTTTCACTGTCTACTTGCATGCCATTTCCTCCTGACCATACTATTTATAACTCCCCTCCCTCCGGGCATCAACCATGTATGTAGGTTTCTGCAACTTGTTCGACAGGCAAGGAGGCAAAACTGTTCCTTGATGGGGAAACCCAGCTAGGTGGGCAGGATATAAATAATAAAATTATTATTACCACTTAGGTGTGCATGTCAACTCTGAAACAGAAAGCAAGGTAACTGATCCACGTATACTACTTTCCCGTGGGTGGTTCCCCACTTCCCCATCGCCTGTTTTGGGGGGATACGAACATGCCATCTCCCAGCCTGCAAACTGCCAAGCAGGAGGGTCCCGCCGTCGTTTCTCCGAATCGCCCGCCACTCGGACCCCGGCGCCACATCCTCCCTCCGTCCCGGCCTCACCTTGAGGATGACGCCCAGGTCCCGCACGGGCTGCTCGTTGAGCCGAAGGCGGCCCGCTTGGGCCGCGGCCCGGTAGTACTCGAGGGGCTGGGCGCGGAACTCGGTGCCGAAGACGTGCAGGAGGCTCTCGCCCACCCAGCGGCCCTTGCAGTAGGTCTGGAAGTCGAAGTAGTAGGGCCGCACTTTGCGGAGGCCGCCCTCGAAGTAGTAGCTGGTCTCGGCGAAGTGGCTCTGGCCGAAGCTGACGCCGGGGTTGCGCTTCTTGGGAGGCGGCACGTAGCGCTTCTCGCCTTCCTCGGCCGGCCCGGGCCGCTTCCCTTTCGCCTTCCCCTTCCCGGTCCACAGCCGGAGCCTCTTCACGGGCGGAGGGGAGCTCCCCTGCTCGCCGCCCGCCTGGCTCTCCTCCATGCTTCTGCCGGGCAAGAGCGAGGCCGCGGCGGCTGCCAACCCGCGCCGGACGCCCGGCTCGGCTAAGAGCGACCGCGAGTACCGCTCCGAGTGCAGCAGTGTCAGCCGCATGATCCGCGCGTCGCGGCGACACGGCTCCTCGGCGCTGCCCGCTGACGCCTCGCCACTTAAACCAATCGCGCTCGCTCGCTCTCGGTGACGGATAAGTCGCGCGACAAGACAGACCTGACAAGCGACTGCTCAGTCTGCCAGAAGTTCGCTTATATGTAAAGCAAGTCCTTCAGGGGAAACGGCTCCGATAAGCTTACGCGGACATTATAGCCAGCTAGCTCCATTTTTAAAAAAATTAAATTTTATTAAATACAAAATAAAGAAAAGAATATCAAATAAGAAAAGAAATAAACAAATTTCATACATATACACATGAACATAATTATTTATACATCTGTAAAGCAATATTCAAAAAGAAGGGAAAAAAGAGAATAAAAGAAGAAAGAAAAGTTAAAAATAGAAATTTAGAGAATAGAAAAGTGTTCACCATAAACAACAATTTCAGATCTATACTTGCATACAATTTTATGCTCCATTTTATTTTGCACATCCACACCAGGACATTCACAGGGAAACCAAAATGCTGGTTTGCAAAGCTATACTACCAACTTTATTGTACATTTGTGAAACATGGACCACTTATAAATGCCATCAGAATCACCGGGGACTACAATTTTTTTATACATCCCGTGGGAAGACAGGCAAACTAATGCCAGTGTACTGGAAGAAGCAAAGATCACCAGTATCAAAGCAATGATTTTTACACATCAACTTCATTGGACTGGTCCTGTTGTGCAGATGCCTGATTATCTTCCAAAGCAACTACTTGATTGCAAACTTAAAAATGGAAAGCGTAAAGCGTAGTCAACAAGAGAGGTTTAAAGACTCTCTCAAGGCAAATCTAAAAAGATGTAGTATAAACACTGACAACTGGGAAACACTTGCCTGCGAGTGCTCCAATTGGAGAACCTTTATCAAATGTGTCATGGACTTTGAAGAAGCTTGAACTCAGGATGAAAGGGAGAAACGTGCTAAGAGGAAGGCATGTTTGGCAAACTGTCACCATGATAAACTCCCGCCTGGAAACCTATGTCCGACACTGTGGAAGGACTTGTGGATCCATAATTGGTCTCCAAAGTCATTTACAGACTCACTATTAAGACCATGTTCATGGAAGACAATCTTACTGGGCTGAGTGATTGCCAAAGAAAAAGAATACACACACCCCATTCTGTATTGAGTCATACATTTCTGGCACAGCACAAGATGCCGAAACGCTGCCCACTGCTATCCAGTATTAAATAGCAAGAAGATCCAACCTTACAGATGACAATATGTACAAGCTGCAGGGCGACGGTATTAGCTTGGTGGGTAGCAGTATTCCCTCCTCCACGAGTAGAGACAGTACACCTTCAAATACCAAATGGTAAGAACAAACAGGTATCCTGACTTACATGTGAGATTTTAAACAGATGGGTGGCTACTGATGAAAACAGATGCTTGAGGAGAGTCCTCATCCAGCAGGACAAATTGTATTATGAGTGTAATAGTAAAAACAAAGAAGAAAAGCAAGATCCAAGTTCATTAGTTTATTAGATTGAGATGTTACAATTGCGGGCTATTTTCAGTTATGTCCTTTTTCAGAAGTAAAATACCAATTAAATTATTCTCCCAACAGCAGACGGCCACATAAGCATTGCTTCCTTGCATAATAAAAAGGCATATTGTGCACAAACACCCACCTCAACTTTTTCTTTTGCTTCTGCATGCAGGATTTTTTTGCATCCTATGAAACAGCTGGACTGATGCTAGTTATCAGTCTTTAACCTATCACTCTGCTTTGCCTTCCAATTCCAAGAGTTCTTGGAGTTAACAGAAAATGAATCTGTTAGCCTAGTGGAAGGACTGATCCTAGCTTCCCTCACATTACAAGGGATGTTATCTTTAATAGTATTATAGAAGTCCATTTAAGAAGCAGAGCCTTATGCATTTATCTGCACAGCATAAGAATGCCTATTCTTTCCAAACATAGTTCACAGGTTTTCCAAAGATCCTTTAAAGGTGATTTAAGATCTTTAAAGTTCACCCCTAAAGAAAGAGAGACAATTGACAATTAATATAAACATACATGAATATATTTTTGCAAAAATCAAGTGTTCGCAGTTAGCTGGAAATATGGAAATATTGCCCAAAGTGAAATGGTATTCCTTGCCTTGAGTTTTCTCAAAGATAATATATACAGCTACGGTAAGTGGTAGAGACCATAATATAAGCAGTTAATGAAATCACAGATAAAAAGGGAAATGCTATTAGGTTAACATCTATGATGATTTGATCACACCAAGAAAATGATGGCTCTGCAATTCATTTGATTCAGGAGTTTTACTCTTCATTTACAAAAATAAGACCTTAATGTTGGGAAGTGACATGAATATTGGGAAAGGGCAATGTAGATTTTCTAAACCTCAGATATAAAAACATTTTTTTACATATAGAAGCGGGAATAAATAAATAGCCATTTGTGGGTGTTGTCTCTGCATGCAAGCAAAGCCTCCACACAGGGGAGGATCATGCCAATAGCATCATTTGTATTAAATGCCCCCAAGCAGATGCTGGATCTTCTTGGGCCAAATATTATGGACCTGTTTCAAGGTTTTGACCTTCAAAATTGATGTTTGTGGGCCTTTTAAATACACATTCTGACTGATTTTTTTAACATAGATTCTACCTATTCATCTGTGTTTACAAGAGGCAATAGAGTTTTCCTTATCCCATGTATCACGAGGCACAGTCCAATCACTACTTGGTCTTATCTTTTCCCTGTAAACAAGGGCTAATGGAAACACAGGCTTTCTCTTGCCCAATAACAGTTTAGCTATAATAACCTGGTTTGGAAACTCAGCTCTTGGCTTGCCATTGTTCAGTGTCCTTTCCTCCCCACTTCATTGGCATTTACATCCTGCTTTAATTAAACCACAATTAGCCATTATGTCTGACAGCAGTTGAATATCATTTTTTAAATGCTCAGTCTAACCTGCCTCACAGGGTTGCTATGGAGATTAAATTAAAGACCACCTTGAGCTCCTTGAAGAAAAAGGTGGGTGGTAAATGCAATAAATAAACAAACAAACAAACAAACAAATCCACATAAAAAGAGCCTGCTGGATCAGGTCAGTGGCCCATCTAGTCTGGAATCATGTTCTCACAACCGGATGCCTGTGAGAAGCCTACAAACTTACTGAAAAATAAGCTTAGCTTTGTTCAATTGGGCTTTCTTGCAAAAGTGCCTGGAATCACAGTGTTACATAGCCTTAAAAAGAACATTAAGTTACCTCTGTATTGGGGTGGGGAAACTTTTTGATTTGACTGGTGGGTATGATCTGGAAAAAATGGACTTAAGGGACAAACAGACCCAGGTCAGGCCACATTTAGTCCATGGGACAAATGTTCACACTCCCTGTATGTTTCCCAAGACATTTACTCTCTGTTCTAAGAGAATACACGTTTCTTTAAAAAATGGTTTCACTACGAAGTTGCTCACAGCATATTAGTATCTTTGCCTGATAAAACACACCCTGTAATAGGGATTCTCTTTTTAGTAGTGTTGTAACTGTGGGGATTCTCTTTTTAGTAGTGCTGTAACTGTGAGGAAAGTGAGCTTTTATCCAGCAATGCCTTGGAACACAAGAGGGTAGGAGCATATTAATAATTTACCGAGGCCACTGTTTCTCTTTGTCTGTCAGAGGGACATATATCACACCCATCAGCTGCTTTTCCACAATCTGCCCGTCTTTGGTTTTGTCATACTGCATCAAAACCTGGTTTCCACCCTCTGGCCCTACGGGCAGAATTAGTCGTCCTCCAGGTTTCAGCTCATTCAGCAACTAGCAGTAAGAATCAATAAGAGCAAAGGCAAAACAGAAACAAAACGGAGAAATTCAGTTTCCACGTACACACAAAAGGGAAGAAAGACAAACTGAACACTGTTCTCTGGCTCTTGAAGTAGTCCATGAAAAGTGGCCATTTCCAAAATTAAAATTAAAAATGGCAACACATTTGCTACTCACTTATACCTAAACCCTCTCTGTGTGATGTTTTGCCTGCTGAGAAATGCAAAGAGTGAACCATTTTTCTTACACCTCATGTCAATAGAAACATGGTTGTCAGGGGTTCAGAGACAGAGGCACAGGTGAGGGAGGAGACGGAGAGCGAGGGGGAAGAATCCCAGGATAGCGAGGAAGAGGATGACAATGACTTGAGGGATTCCATGAGTCTTTCAAGTGAATCGGAGGATTCCCAGAAGGGGGCGCCTGTGGTCAGGCCAAGGGGAGTCACAGGGGGGACTCGTCAGGAGCAGGGGACCAGCAGGGGAACCCAAAGTGGGAGCTGGGAGTCGGGACCGGCTTCTACGCCAGAGCGCAGTGAAGGGGGTGGAGATTCCAGAGTGACAGGAGAAGCAGGTCCGAAAGCAGAGAGGGAGGGGAGATCGGAGCAAGACATCCTCCCGGAAGGGAAGGGAAGGGGAGTAGTGCAGGGAGTAGTGTAACTGTCAAGAGGAAGGTTAGAGGCTGCGAACGCGTGCCAAGTTCAAATGTGGAGGTGCGCGGAAGTACAGGGAGCCCGGAGGAGGAGCCAGGTGCCAAAGCACGCAGGAGGGGGGAAGAGCTGTCTGGGGATTCCGCGTCAGGGGAATCCAGGAGGGGCGAAACCCCAGGGGGCAGGAAGACCCTGCGGAAAAGGAAAGAAAGGAAGAGGTGGAGCAGCACAGCCCTCTTAAACTGGTGCAGAGGAGGGACTGACTCAGAGGGGACTTCAGCGGTCTAAGCGTAACAGACGTGGGGCTGCGCGCCTCGGCTGTGGAGTGTACAATACACTGCAATAAACATCTTTGTATATAAACTGGACTTGGCGTTGGTCTCTTGTGAGCTGGGACCTGAGGCAGCCCTGACAATGGTCAAATCTCCAGGCCATCAGAGATTTCAGAACGTAAAACATTGTCTCTGTTCTATTCAATTTTAGTTCTCTTTCCTTATGATAACAGCTGAAACATATGGTTACACTTTTTTCACAACTGTCTTCTAGACTTAGTAAATTAACCA